TCTCTGCACTTTATAGAATAACATAAATACTATCTTTGAAGTGTATTTTATCTTTATATAGTTTATTTGCAAGAGTATTTTCCTAATATTTCACAGTTTGAATGTGCATTTTTTGGAACAAATGATGGCTTTAACAGATAAGCATCCACATTTGTAAACGTAGCTCTTTTTAAAAAGTGTGAAGGTCTGACTGATATGTTAGTAAACATGCATTATAAACTTCAGCAAAAATTTTCATTTTTTTGGAGAAAATGAGACTTGTGCCCTGGACCTCTTGGTCATTTGTACCAGGTCATCCACCCAGAGCTGTGATTGGCCCCACAGTAGCTTTTTTTGCCAGTGTAAGGGCTGTGGGAATGGGCACTAATGGGTCTCTTCGAGCAGCTTGACGGTAACTGACATTGCCGCCTTTACAAATACAAGGATATACATAATCCAGTCCTTATTTTTAGCCAATGAAAGTAGAAATATTTAGTGTATTTTTCTAAACAAATGTATAAAAATAACTTAATATGAAGTATTTGTACCAAACATGGGATATTTAATAATTTTTATTTATTTATTCTTTTTTGCATCAAAAATTTCTACCTACTTTCAGTACTAAAGATCTGAAGATCTACTAAAGGCTTCAGAATGTGCATAAATTGTTTCTGGGGTGTGTAGTATCACAAGTAGTTAATACAGCACCGTTAAGATTTACTCTGCCTACTTAAGATGTATTTTTAGCAAAGTATTATAGAAGCAAGAGCTAAAATGTTAGACTGTTTTAAGCTGCTGTTGTAATGAATATTTGTATCTATACGTGTTTTATTTATGACATATTTATACAATAGGGAGCTTCTGTTTTTGTGTCTCCTTTATATCATTTGAGGATGGTATACACCAGAAGATGGATTCTGCTCTCAGTTACATCCGTTTAAATTTCACATTAACTGTAAGCGAGGTCAGAGTCTGACTCTCTTAATAATTAATTAGTAATATAGTATGACAGTGCCTACTAGCACCTTGGTCCAGAAGGTTGTTAATGTTAACATTGTAAGCTTTTGGGGATTTTTGGGGTGTTTGTTTAGGGATAAACTTGGTCTATAAAGTCTTAGCTGTAGAGCACTTTAAGCAAGCCATTTACTCTTTTTGATTTACACAATTGATAAATAGATGTACAGGGTTTTTTGCACTCAAGCACATACCAAAATCTGTTTTTATAATCAGATCTTCTATAATTTGGTTTAACTAGTCTTCCTTTTGTGTATATAAATAATTTGGTGGTTTTGAAGTGGGTTGGAAAGGAGAGATGGGAATGGGAGCTATCCTTATAAATTTTTGGAATGTCGATTTATCTAAATCAAAATAGGTCCAAATGTTGGGGAAAAACATATGAGCTGTTGCCCACATATAAAATGCCAGTTTATAAACCATTATGCCGGGTTCAAGTGGGATGGAATGGTTTGTACAAGGGATTTGTGGATACCAGCTCAGAGCAGTCATTTGTGCTCAGTTCTGTCAGTTTCATACAAACTAGAATATGCATATCAGCCACACATATGCTTGTACATTTTTTCTGAATGTTTGCTTTAATGTATTCTGTATGACATGACAATTGTAAAAAAAAAAAAGGTATTAAAAAAGATGTTCGGAGAAGTAAACTACATATTGTAGTGAGAGTGTTGTCTTGAATCGTATGCTGTCTTAGAGCTCCTTTTTGAAATTTCACTAAGGTTTCTGCCAGTTGTATAGTGTTAAGTATATGTCACATTGACAGATTTTTTTTTTTTCTGGCTTTCAACTACTACAAAGAAAAGAGTTTGGACTTCAAATTGTGCAAAAAAACCTCTGAGATCAGTGCATGTAGTAGTAAATAATAATTTGAAACACTGCTATAATACAGAAGTTGTAATGATCAGATTCAAGCACAGAATTTCCATGTAATTACTTCTTCACTGTTTTGGGTTTCTCCAGGTCACCAAAGCCACCATTTCAACTTTCTGTATGTATGTGATATGTTCCTGCTAAAGTTAAATCAACTTTTTAGATATGACTGTGCCAAACATCCTAAAATGTATTTCAGTGAAATCAGTGAAGATGATATGCTGTGATACTTTTGGCATATGGGGCTAAGAAGTCATTTCTGAAAATGATACTTACCTGGCTGAATCACAATAATTCATGTACAGTAAGACTAAAAATATCTGGATGTTCTCACATTTTCATTTCCAAGTTTAAGGAGAGCTTATCAGGAATGCCTAATTATATCACTAATTATATAGTGGAGAATGAGAGCTGAACCTCAACACAGAATATGTAGTTAGTACTTTTAGTTTTGATCTCTTGCTTCTGAAGAAATCGATCTGAAATTATTTTTTTTAAAACAGTATTTATCACTTAAAGAGTATAAGCATAGTATCTATTTAGGTGAAAAGTGATAACTTCTAATTACATATCTGAAGTTTATAACTTCAGATAATTAGAAATTACCAGCTTATAGTATAATGAATTAATGGTCAGGCATGCCATGATTTGGAGAGCTGTGAATACTGAGATTACAGTGTTCAGGGCCTTTACTGTAAATTAATGCTTGTGTTTTTTTCAACTTAATAATTCAGCTTCACTTTTTTAAACTTTTTTTTTTCCTCAGAGAAAGCAATCTTTGGGATAAGAATATTTCAGAGGTTGCTTCTGCATAAATTTTTTGTACTTCATTAATTTAAAAATTGAAATCTATTTATGTATCTATTAAGGTTATTTGCACAAATGATAATTTTTGCTCCTTATGCCCCTCTCAGTTTAAGTATTCTAGTGTATCTGTTGTTCCTGCCAGTATAAATTAGAAACTTTTAAAAGGGGTATAATACCTGAATAAAGGAAATACCCGTGTCTGAAAACTAACTAAAATGTGGTAAAATGAATCTCTCAGTGTTATTATGCCTATCCACTGTCACAGTTATTCTTCTCAGGCTGCCACATGTGAAGTGTTAGTAGAAAATATATAGCTCTATAGTAGGATTTATACAGCAACTCACAGAGCTTTGTTAAAAAGTTTTTCTTAAGGCATCAACACACAGGAAACCTTAACACCAAATGCCTTCATACATATACCAGTGGCAGGATATTCTAACTTTCTAACTATTCCCATAGTGCAATAGATTTAATCTTTAAAGACAGCAAACACCAGGTTGTAAAGTTAGAAGTCCCAATATTTGACCTGAATATAAGAAGTATATAGTCAAAATGTTTGTTTCATGCAGAGACTGCTTAACCTATTGTCTCGAAAAATGTTATTCTTTAGGGAAGCGTTTTGTGAAATGGAATATTGAAGCTCTAGGCTGTGACTTTAGTGATGTCACTCTGTATTAGCATTCGCTTAGCAGTCTTGTGGAAAAACACTGGCTCAGCTGGTTGGCCTGTAACATTATCTATTAAAGCCGTGTTTCAGCAAAGCCTGTAAGTATTTTAAATCCTATTTTCAGTCATGTAAGTGACTCATCTGCCTGAAGTTAGGTGTGCTTGCTTAAGCACTGTGCAGAGTTGGGCCAAAGAGATACTGACAGAATGAACTTGCTTACACTGCCACTCTATCAAGTAAGTATATCTAAGACTCAAAAGAGGCCATGTAAGATTGAGCTTTCAGTAGCCTTTGTGGAGAAAAGTCCATGGTTAAATCTGCTGATACTGGCTGTCACTATTTCTTTCTGCCACAGTGACCAACTAACCTAGTGCATTTTTAGTGTTAATTTTCTTATGTGCCTGTGTACGTGAGTTAGTTGTTGGTTAAACAAGACTGTACTTAACGTATTTTTGTGTCTTGTACTGAGTTTGTTGGTTGAGGTTTTTTTAAATATCTAATGAAATGAGAATTAGAAGCTTTCTTGAGGTTTTTTTTTTCTTAGAATGGTTTAAAGATTAAAATGAACAGCTTTTTCTACTTCATTTTTATTATTCTTTTTTTCTTTCCTCCCTAAGAAAGAATTACCATGCACTCTTAAACTCTTTCATCTTTATGATTGTTTCTAAATGTTCCTGGTTGCATTACTTGACAAAGTTTGGCTTTGTCCTGACCCAAAAGCTTAGGTCTTCTGAAATCCTTATTTTTACTTTAGTCCTTCTTTCATTCTTAGCTTTCCTGCATCATGTGGATAGATAGTGCTTGATAATGTGTAGGTTTATAGGAAATTATAAAAAAGAAGTGGGCTTCTATAGTGAGTCTTTTTGGAATAGGTTTTTTAACATTCTACCTGCTTTACTACTTCTGATGAACTTGAGCCTTTTTTTTTTTTTTTTTTTTACTAGTAATGGTATGCTGGGAGTCATAGTGATGTATAGTGTTTGCTAACTAATGCTCCTGCTACACTTAGAGAATTTTCAGCACCTGAAGTGTTGCATTGCTGTGAGTGTGTTTTCTCTCAAGGTTTTTCTACAGCCCAGAGTGAATTCTAGAAGCAGAGTTACACCTTGGACCTTGATACTTTTTTTCCCACAGATAACAAAATTTGGACCTGCCTACATGGTACTTGTGATTCACAACTCACACCCCCCCATCTCCCCTGCCCGAATGTAAAGGCAGCCTTTACTCCTACAGGTATGTCAGCTGACTTGAGGAATGGAAAACTGATGGGACATTAGCCCTTAATAATCCATGGGAGGTCCAGGCAATTAGGGTCAACTAGTCTGTACTAGTTGTAGCTGCCAAAAAAATAGAGGCTATAGAGGAAAGTATGGAAATAACAGAGCGATAAGAACAGCACAATGCTTAGATATGTGCTAGAATTTATCCTTTGTCAACGAAGAACCTATGATGAAAACTTTTTTTTAAAGTCTGACTTTTTTCAAGGCTGACTGGTGGCCAGGATGTTTCTAATATCTACCTAGTTTAAGAGCTAACAACAGTTAGTGACCTGGTTTACATTGGAGAGTTGCATTTCTACCCCATCTTTTTTTTCAGCAACTTTTTCTGTAGTGTAGTACAGGAACTGTAAAAACAGTGTAATAAATAAAGGAGTCACAGATTTTATGGTGCAGAAAGCATGCTTTATTTCAAATGAACAATTCTATCTCAAGGAGGTTCAACAGCTAACAAGCTCTATTACTACATTAGGAGAACTAAAGCAAATTGAAGTGCAGGGCGGTATTTGATGTTGGAGCAACAGTTTGTTTTCAAACTGTGGTTCATTGCTTAGTTGCCCAGAAGCGACTACAGGGTGTCTAATTCTACCACACAAACTCATTCACTGCACCCTATGAACCTCCGAGATGGGGTACTGCTGCTGCACTTGAATACCTAAATAGCTTTGTTGATTAAGGGGATGGCCAGGTGATGTTACTTTTTTAAAAGCTATTCAGGCAGTCAATATGTCAGAAACAGTACACATTGGGTGAACAAAGTGCTGGCCGCTTGCACTTTGTCCAAAAATTGTCAGTCAGGTATGGAAATTATGACATAATCAGATCCAATGTAAAACATTAAAGCAATGCTTACAGGAGGGTAATTGCAAACATCACCAATGCCTTACATTTCTGATTCAACATAAATATTTGTGCATGTATGAAATACTATGCACTGTATCATCTCTTAGGTGCAGGTAATCTTCAACAGGGAGGCTCTCTACCTGTTGAGGCATTCTTAGACATCAACAATGAGTTGAGGCGCAAAGATTAGTTAAATGTTGAGCAGGATAGTCGTTTGCTAGGAAACTTTCTCCTGCCAACTGTGAGTTCCAAAAGTTACGTTTCAAAATGTCATAAAATAAATGGTACAAAACTTCATAACCGTTAACTTCGGCTATATACAGTATGTACATGTCAGTGAAAAAAGTGTTTTAAATTCTTAGGTCAGTAATGACTATAAGTCATAATGTATAGCTCAGGACTTTGTCTCATTCAGGTAGGTAAAAAAATATTTTTCTTTTTATATTTACATATCAGATATTTCAGTCCATATATGAATCACTTGTAAAAAAACAAGTGTAAATAATACATATTGAGCGCTCTAATGTGATCGAATATTAATATTCACAGAGGCAGAATCGGTACCAAATTCATTTCCTAAATTCAGGGTATAAAGTCCACCGTCGTTCTTCTGGACATCCATGATGATCAGGGTGGTTAGATCTTCGCTGGTTTCAATGTGGAATCTGCCTTGCTGGTCCTGACTGGTTATTTTTCTCCCCCTGCAGTACCATGTTATTTCAGGAGCAGGGTCACCCGAAAAGGCACAGGATAGTGTGAGAACTTTTCCTTCATCAATGCTGATATCGGATGGGAGAGCTTCAATTTTAGGTGGTACTCCTTCATAAAACAGGAGAAGAAATAGCAAGTTAGTCTGTTTCCACTAAGCCATGCAGCAGCTTCACTCTGAGGACTACTTCAGGATAGCAGAAGCACTAACTCTACCAATAATCAAAATGCTCACCTCTCAGACCTGATTTGAGCATTTTACTAGTTGAACTCTCCAGTTGAGCCATACTAGATTTCCCCATAATACTGCTGGAGCTCATCTCTACAAAGGATTCTTTCATGGAGGACATGCTTTTGGCAGACATGCTTTCAAATTTCATTTCAGTCATGCTGCTACTGCTGAAACTGCTGAATGAAGCCTCTTGTTTAGAAGAAGCCATTTGAAAGGACTGAGAAGAAAAACTTTCGTGCATGCTTGCGTCGCCACTGGTCTTCAATACTACCTCTTTTGGAGGTTCTTCAATTAGAGCTGAGGAGCATTGCAAACATAGAAGGAAAAAGCAACAACATCACATTAACGAACAAAGTCATGCAGTTCTGTCTGGTTAATTTTACAGAAATGAAGAGACAGCATACATTGCTTTCAATGGAAAAACTGCAGTGGAATATAAAATTGTTTTCAGTCATTGGATTCAAGATGTCTGAGTCACAAACAGTAATTTAGAAAGGAAACAAGTAGGCAATGGAACGTACTGGTATGTATGAGCTTGAAGGAAAAACTTAAATACTTAAAAAAACCCAGGTTATCACACAGTGTTTATTAGAACTATTAGACATTAGAATTAGATACTGAGAAATTGTGTATTCAGTTCATGTTTGTAGAAGTTGTGAAACATTTTCAAGTTCTTACAAACATGGAATAGTAAAGTCTGTATTTCACTGCATTGTTCTGTACTTATAAAAGGCAACAGAAAAGCTCAGTCACTGCAGCTTTGCTTTTAACCCAAACACAGTCATACAAGCAAATCGTAGCCACCCCTTGATGCTAGGAGCTGGGATATGGTACAGCCAATAAAATACTAAACCCAGTTCAGTTAAGTTGCCATAAAAAATTTTAATTGCAGAATTTTTTTGTTTTATTGGAACAGATTCTGCTAGTAAATGAGGAAAGAGTAATTACCAGCACCAAGGTTTTAACATACTCATTCTAGAATGAATGCTCAAATATTCATAGCTTTCTCTTAGCATGCATCTCTCTGTTGATGTTATAGAGCACCTGTGTGCTCCTCTGTGGGTGTTAAAAAGATTTGTAATGCTGTTTTAGTTCTGTATATATAAAATACAACAGAAAAATGAACTTGTTAAAATATCTAAATCAACATTAACAGTAACTTTTATCATAAGTCGTTTTAGTAGACACATCACAGAAAAAGTTGTGATTATTCTGAACACAAGACCTGGAGAACAAACTTACGGAGTACAGTTAAAGATGCTGTAGCAGAGCACTGCCCATGGTAATTTTTTGCCTTGACTGTGTATTTTCCAGTGTCACTCACTGCTGCATTTCGAATCTCAAGAGAATATATATTTTTAGAGCGAGTTACTCTGATATGTGATGAAACTGCAATCTGAGGAGGGAAAAAAAACTATTTAATTAAGATCAGTTTTATGAATAATTCTATTTTTTCAAGTAAATATATTAAATTATTACTTACAGGCTGATTATTCTTTAACCACTCAATTTCAGGAGAAGGATCCCCAGAAACTTCACAGGTGAACAACACGTCTTGTCCTTCATTGACATTTTGAGACTTAGGCTGCATGATGAATGCTGGTTCGTTGGAGCGTTCTTTAGAGAAGGTCAGAACATACTGGCATTTAATAATGCCTTCGTCAGTTTTACCCTCACAGGTGAGTATACCTTCTTCTTTACTACTGGCCTTTTTGATAGTTAGCGTGTGATCACTTCCAGAAACACCATATCTGTAATCCTCTGAATTTCTCAGCTCCATTCCATTCAGCACCCATTTTACTTCAGAGGCACCAGGAATGTTGGCCTTCAACGTCACTTTCTGCCCTTCAGATACTGTCATTTTAGTTGAAGAAGCTTTAATTTCTGCTTTCACTTGTTTGACATCTTCAGTAACAACGGACTTTTGAATGACTTCTTGAACTGCAGATTTCTCTTCAGTTGCAACTGCTTTTTTCTTTTGAGTAGAAACTGTAAGCAACTCATCTTCTTTCTGAACTGATTTATGAGATTCAGATACACTTCTTACCTGGGAATGGATATTTTTAAATACTTGGCCAGTAAACTGGAAGTTAGTTTTTGAAACACCTGCTTCCCCAATAATTTCACAGGTGTATTCTCCTTTATCAGATTCCATAAGCTCATGGATTTTGAGCTCATAAGTGCCATCTGCTGAATAATGAAACTTGAAATGATGGTCTTCTTTAAGTTTTTTACCATCCTTATACCAAGCCACTTCTCTGACACTTAAAACATTGCTTTCAACTGCACAGGATAACTTTACCTTATCTCCAAGAGCTTCTGCTTTCAGATGCTGTTTTATCTTTGGTGGAGAAGCAGCTGGTAATTGTACTTTCTCTGCTGGTACTGTTTTGTCTCCAGGTGGTGACTTAGCTTTTGGGGGACTGCTGATGGGTTCAGGAGATTTCACTCGTTTAGGAGACTTAACTGGCTCTGGAGACTTTACATGAGGCTCGGGAGATTTGATCCTTGGAGGTGATGTAATTGTTTTTTCGGGAATTTTTGTTCTTTGGATGGTCAAAGTAAAATGCGCTTCCTGTCTTCCTTCAGAGTTTTCCACTACAACAGTGTAACTTCCTTCATCTGACATCTGGACTGAAGAAATTTCAAAGGTAGACTTGTACTGTGTTCGTGTTACTTGGAAGCGCCTCGAAGAAACAATGGGTTGACCTGCACGGAACCATGTTATTATTGGTGCTGGTTCACCATCAACATCACAGGAAAATCTCGCAGTCTCCCCTTCAGAAACTGTGATTGATCGTGGCTTTGTAAGGATTGTTGCTGGTAGAGTGCTTTTAAATGCCTTGTGTACAGTCCTTTCTTCCAATGATTTTTCTTCAGCTGCAGTGACTTTTTCTTCAGAAGCAGCGTAGTGTTCATAGGATAAAAGTGATTCTCTTGTTGCTGACATTTCTGATTTGACCTCTCTTAATGAGGAACTAGCTTCTGTAGCAGATGCTTTCTTAAATGAAGAGATTGCATATGCCTCTGTTTTTGTCAAGTCAGGTAAAATTGACCTTGGTACTTCTTCATCTCTCCTCTGGGAAGAGTATGTAGTGTAATCTCCTCCAGTAACATCTAGCGTTGCATAATCAGAACATTCCCCTTTGTAGTTTGTGCATACAGCCCGGTAGGTTCCACTGTCATCAATGTGGCAGTCAAGAATCTCCAGAGTTAACACACCACTGGTATTAGTAAAGTGTATCTTACTGCTCTCCTGGAGCTCAATGCCATTATGATACCATTTCACTTCAGCAGTTGGTTTTGATTGGACATTTAGAATGAACCTGGTATTATGGCCACATGGTACCCGGTGTGAACGCATTCTCAGGGTAATGCGAGGGGAATGGTCAAGGGTGAAAGGCTGCTGAGTCAGAACTTCATATTTCCTTTCCATAGTTTTTTGAGTTTTCAAAGCAGATTTCATGGACTCATATCTAGAAAATATATCAAATCTTGCCATCCTCTCAAACCGCGAGAGAGATCTTTCACTAGAAACTGGGCTAGGTGAGCGTGGTCGAGTTCTCTCTGGTGTTGGGGATCTTCTCTCACTTTCTTCAGGAGGCCGTGAGCGAGGTCGAATTAATTCAGATACAGGACGCATCAACTCAATGTAAGTTGGAGAAAGGGATCTTCTTCTCCTTAATAGTCTAGAGGGAGGTGAAAATTCCCTGTGAACATGTTGCACCATTTCTATTTCTTCTTCTTCTTCTGATGTGATCTCAGTTATTTCTCTTTCCCTCCTTCTCCTGAGTCTACTCTTTTCTTCTTCTGCCATATATTTGAGCTCACTCTTGTATTCAGAGAGTCGTTGAGCAGTGCCAACAGGACGGAGCAATTCTTCATCCTCCCTCTCATCCATTATTCTTTGCTTTTGTTTAGGTGGTCTGTAGGCAGCCCTGTCATGGCGTTGACGAAGTTCTGCATAGCTTGCACTGGTCTCAGCTTTAGTTGGGATGTGATAGCTTGAATACCTCAGCTCTCTTTTTCTTTCTTCCTCTGAACTGACCTGTGCTGCTGCAGTAGAATACCGAAGGGCAGACAGTTCAAAGCGGGGGGGGCTTCTACTTGGTGGGGAAGCAGAAAAGCCTAACTCCAGCTCTTCTTCAAGGCGCAGTCTTTCCTCTTCAGTTCTCTTCATGGCTAAGTAGTCATCTATAGGCATAAGCAATTCCTCATCAGACAAGTCGCCAAGTGAACGCCGCCTTGGCCTGTAGTAATATTCATACTCTGGAGATGGGGTACGCCGACGTGCTGGTCTCACAATTTCAAGATCATCTTGTGTTAGCTTTGGTATGCGCCATTTAGGCTTGTACTGGTCAGAAATGCGTGGTAGTGGCATCACGTAAAATTGTTCCCACCTGGAAAGACGTATGCGTTTCTGGCGTTTCTGAACAGTCCTCTCAAGTTTTCCTGGCATTTCATACTGGTCTCGCAGCCTCTTGTACCACTTCATGTCTGACAGAGGCACATAGTGTTTAATATTCTGATCTTCCTCAAGAGCAGCACGTACATGTTTGCGAGGCTCTGGGACCTCGTATGGCATACGAAGTCTTCTTTCCTCCTTCTTTTCCTCTTTCTTAATTTCATATTCACCTTTGACAGTCTTTGAGCTAACAGCTGGTTTATATAAAATAGCAGCTTCTCTGAGAGCCTCTTGTGCAGTTTGTGTCAGTGGAACAGCTTCAACCCCAGCAAGAATTTCTGCCATTCGTAAGGTCTTGTCAATTTGCCTTTGTACATGCTTCTCCCGCTCTTCTTCAGTCTTGTACTCACGCTTGACATATTTCAAGCGTTCAACTTTTAGATAAGCCTGACAGCTTGTAGATCCAGCACTGTTAGTAGCAGTAACTCTGTAATAGCCACTGTCTTCTGGTAAAGTATCTCTGATATGCAAAGCATAATAATCTAAACCTTCGTGAATTATATCAAAGTTGGGACCAAAGGATAGAGGTTGACCATCTTTTTCCCATTTCAGCGTTGGTTTTGGTACACCAGATACCCTGATCTCAAAACTGACACTTTGGCCTTCTTGACATTCAGCATTTGCCAGCAGTCTTTTAAACATTGGCCTGAGTGTGGCATCTGCTGGAGGCGGGTGTGGAATCACAGTCAGCTTAGCTTTGCAGCTGTCTTCACCAAATCTATTGCGTGCCACTATACTGTATTCAGCATCATCCTCTTCAGTGACGTTATTGATGACTAGTTGATAAAGCCCCTTGTCTGATTCAAAAGTATACTTCTTATCATCATCACCAGGTTTGATTTTCTGGCCTGATTTGAACCATGTTAGGCGAGGTTCTGGGTGAACTGTTATAGTGACTCCAAACCTGACATTTTCTCCGACATACGCAGTGCGGTTATACAAAGGCAGAGTGAATTCTGGTGGATGCTCTAGCAGTCTCATAGTATCAACCCGTCGTTTCACTTTTCTAACAGTTCTGCATCTGTAGTGCTCAGAAATTTCCCTCACACCTTTAACAAAAAGTTCTGCATAAGAGCTGTCTTCACCATAGTCATTTACTACCTTGCATCTGTAGGTACCATCATCTGATTTAGAAACATCTTTGACATACATGGTTGCCACACCTTCTTCATATTTGATTTCATATTTCTCATTGCTTTCTAATTGTCTCATACCAAAGTACCATGTGACTTGTGTGGATTCATCATAGTTTTCAATCGTACATACATATTTGGCATGCCCTCCTTCTTCTGCAACATTATGCTTTATCTGCCCAGCAATGGGCCCAATGTCTATTGGTGCAACTTTGACTTTAGCAACCGTTATGCCTTTCTGGGATCTAATTGCGCCTCCACAGGAAATGCGGGCTACTGACACAACTGTGTTCCACTCCTTCTTTACTAGAGTTTGGTAGTAACGCCTGTGCCTCAAGGTCTTGATGGCTTTAGTGCTGGTCTTTTCTGTCTGCTGTTTTAGCCACACATGATTAAGAGCTTCAGCAGCTGTCATCCGAGATTTTCTTTCTTTTACTAGTAGACGATCAATGAAGTCCATGGCCTCAACACTTATGTCTTTGAATGCTTCATCATCGAAGCTGTATTCAGCATTTAGAATATTTTCAATAACTTGTTGGTTTGTTTCAGCAATGAAAGGATTAAGGCCACTGAGAAGTATGTATGATAGAGCACCAACTGACCACATGTCAGTAGCTGTGCTGACCAAGTCATGGTGATGTACTTCAGGTGCATAATATTCAGGGGCAGTGAACTGGAGTCTAAAGCTATCTCCAGGCCTCAATTGTCTGGCTTGACCAAATTCAACAATTTTAACTACAGAGCTTCTTCTTGTGAAGTAAATAATATTGTCTGGTTTAATATCAAAATGTCCAATGCTATGGCGATGTAAAAATTCTAGTGCATCACAGACCTGGCGTACATAACTTACTATTTCTCTTTCATTCAGTTCAAATGAAGGTGTGCTGATTCTTTCGAAGATGTCAACTCCAGAAATGAATTCAAATATCATGACCAATTCTTCTAGGCTCTCAAATGATTCATGAAGATACAGGATATTTTGGTGCCTAGCAATGTTTAGAATGGAAATTTCTTTCTTTACCAAAACTTGGTCAGCGCCCTTTACTTTGACAAACTTTGCCAGGTAAGTCTTTTTTGAAACTGCCTCAACACAGCGGTGTGCAATGCCAAATTGCCCACGTCCAAGCTCTTCTGCGATCATATATTTGTCATAGAGTTCCTTTGTAGAATAGTGAGCTGCTTTAGCTGCTGTGACTTCTCTGGTCTCATCAACTTCTTCATCATAGTTCATTATTCTAGTCTTATCTTCCTTTGTTACAACTGGATCGGTGGGTTCAGAAGGCTGACTTTGGCCAAACTTGTTTTCTGCAATTACACGGAACTGGTAGGTGGTCTTACCAAATAGGTTCACCACTGTGTATCGTGTATCACGAGCTTGTGCAACACGAATCCATCGCTCTGCTGTTGTAGCACGTTTCTCAACAATGTAGTTTATGATTCTGCTTCCACCATCTGTAGCTGGTTCATTCCAGGTTAAGTTGACTGAATCCCTTGAAATGTCAGTTACTTTTAGACCTCTTGGTGGATCCGGCACATCAGCCACATCTAATTCAACTGTTTTTTGATCAATCCCAAATCTGTTTTTGGCACAAACAATGTAAAACCCTGCATCTTTTCTGTCAACACCATTTGGGAAAACAAGAGATGTGAATGATCGTGTAACAATGACTTGGTAGTGTCCATTAGTATCAATGAGATCTTGTCCCTTCTGCCATGTGATCACGGGGGTAGGCTTGCCACTGAATGGAATCTTGATGCTCACCACTTCCCCTCGGAGAGCATGAACAGCTCCCATGCCTTCCAGGTTTTTGGGCAAGTGAATCTTTGCAGGAACTGTAATAGAAAGAGGAAGAAAAAACAACACATGACCAAAAGCACATGAGAAGAGCACCTATAGTCTAAATATTCAAAGCTTAAAAAGAATTTGTCTTATTAAGACTCTTCATTCACCTTCAACATCCAAAGAGGCAGTGCCAGACACAGATCCTCCTTGGTTGGTAGCTCTAACTTGATATACTGTGGCATCATCATCTGTTACATTTGTGATGACCAGCTGGTAAAATCCACCCTTGAATTCCTGTATCTTGATCTTTTCCCCATCTGGCATGATTTCTTTGCCCTGTCTGTACCACTTGACAATTGGCTTAGGATGACCGGTGACTTTGCAGACAAACGTGGCATTAGCTTGAAATTTCACATTCAGATTCCTTAGTTCTTCCTTGAAATGTGGAGCTTTAATGGGGACATCAGATTTTGGAATGACTGGTTGGGATACCTCACTCCACTCACTTTCACCACCAAGGTTTTCACATTTTACACGGAACTCATATTCAAGACCTTCAATAAGATCTTTCACAGAGTAGACTGTTTCACGAATTTCATCTGTTGTTACAGAAATCCACTTGTTTTGTTTTTTCTCACGTTTCTCAAGATAATAAGTTCTAATCTTTGCACCGCCATCACTTGCAGGTGGCTTCCATGAGACAACACAGGAATCCTTTGTGACAGCACTTGCTACTGGCTGGCCAGGTTGTCCTGGTTTTTCTGTAAAGAATAAAAAAGTTCAAAAATTGAAGTGAGCTTGCCTTACTAATTACAGGGTGTGCTGGTTTTGGCTGGGGTAGAGTTAACTTTCTTCCCAATGACTGGTATGGGGCTGTATTTTGGATTTGTGCTGAACACAGGGTTGATAATATAGAGGCGTTTTTGTTATTGCTGAGCAGGGCTTACACAGAGCCAAGGCCTTTTCTGCTTTCTGTACTGCCACAGTGGCAAGGAAGTTGAGGGTGCATGGGAGGTTGGGAGGACACACAGCTGGGACAGGTGACACCAACTGACCACAGGGATATTTCAGACCATATGACATGTTCAGTATATAAAGTGAGGGGAAGAAGGAGGAAGGGCATGAGGTTTGGAGTGATGGCTTTGTCTTCCCAAGTAATGGGTATGTGTGATGGGGCCCTGCTATCTTGGAGATGGCTGAACACCTGCCTGCTCATGGGGAGAAGTGAGATGATGTCTTGTTTTGCTTTGCTTTGTTTGTGTGCGCAGCTTTTGCTTTCCCTATTCAACTGTCTTTATCTCAACCCATGAGTTCTCTAGCTTTTTACCCTTCCAGTTCTCTCCCTGATCCTGCTGGTGGGGGAGTGAGCAAGCAGCTGTGTGGGGCTTGGCTGCTGGCTTACAGAAATTGATACTTTGGCCTCCACTTACCAAATGGAGGCTTTATGAAAACAACTGATGAGACCTCCAGTGCTTCACTAATGCCATATGTATTCTGAGCAGAAACACGGAAATAATAGCCTGCATTTTCAGTTAGGTTAACAATTCTACAGGTTGTGCCTGAAATGCTTGAAGATACAAGTTGCCATTCTGTTCCTTCCTTGGCTTCACGTTTCTCTATGATGTAATTGGTTATCATAGCACCTCCATCATCCTCTGGGGGTTTCCAGCTTATCACCACAGAATTCTTCAGTATAGACTCTATAACAATTGGCCCTGCTGGTTTATCTGGTTTATCTGTACAAGAAAAAAAGCACAACATTTTTAGTTCTTTTTCCAATCAATATTTGAGAAAATATTCCACAAAAATACTGAAAATAAAATGAATTACCTTGTATTTCCACATTAAGTACAGTGTCAACCGTTCCAAATGTGTTACTGAGTTGTACTTTGTACTTCCCAGCATGAGTCTTGTGCTGGACATTCTTAATAGCAAGATGAGTATAATGTTCTGTGTTCTCAATAGTAACTGTTTCTGATCCTCTCAAAGGTTTGTTGCCATGAAACCAGGTTATTGCTGGTACTGGTCGGCCAATATACACAACGTGAAGGCGGAGGGTGCCACCTGCACCTGCGTAGTATTTCTCTTTCAATGGGAAGCCAGGATGGAACTGAGGAGGAGCCTGCAATAATAGTTTGCCACTAGTTTCAATTTCTCCGACATCATTGGTAGCCATACAAGTGTAGAGACCTTCATCCTCCTGTTCCTCTGTCATTACTGTCAGTGTATGATTGCGTCCATCAGATGACATTTTGTATTTTCGGCTTTGCACCAGTTCTTTGCCAAAGCGGTACCATTTAATATCAGGCAAAGGTCTCCCAACAATCTGGCATGTCAGTTGAGCCGCCTCACCCAGTTTAGTTGTAACGTCCTGCATTTCTTTTCTGATGGCAGGTGCTTCTCCAGCTATGACAAAGACAATTATGAAAATAATGATGATTATTATGAAATTTTCCTCTCATACTGTATTACTGGAAATTAATTTTCATTTATACTTGTTCCTCTTAAACCTGAAAGACTGTTCTTTAGAACAGTCGTGTTGGTAAATAATATGTAAAACAAATAGGCAGCATGTTAAATGCATGTTTATGACAGCAAATCACAACAATATCACAGCAAATGTGACAATATGTTTTTGCTTACATGTTAATTTAGTTTTCACTGCCATAGCAGTCCTGCGCGGTCTGCTGAGGCCAGTCTGATTTTCTGCGAAAACACGGAACTCATATTCTGTAGCCTCTAGTAAACCTCCTACTGTAAACTGCCTGTCCTTGATGCGTTCCTTATTGCATTTTTTCCAGGTGCTTTCTCCAGACTGGCGATATTCAACCCAGTAGCCAAGGATCTCTTTCCCACCATCACTTTCAGGTCTTTCCCATTCTAATGTAATGCTGTCCTTAGATATAGAAGTGATCTCAATTTCTCCAGGTTGGCTTGGTTTGTCTGAAAATTAAAAGAGATACAGAAAATAAATTTCTCTCTAAATGCCACTAAGTTGCCCTTCACAAGATCTGTTAATGGAGACATTTTCTTACCAAATGGATCCTTGCATACAACTGGTTCAGAAGCAGGACTTGCTTCACTTTCACCAATGTCATTTTGAGCAATGATACGGAATTGATATTCAGCATCTGGAACAAGTCCTGTGACTGTGTACATTGTAGTGGTAATCTGTGTCTTATTATGCCGGACCCATTTTTCTGTAGATGTCTCTTTACGTTCAATGTAGTAGCCAGTTACACGAGAACCACCGTCATCTTTAGGTCTGGACCAGGACAAGTTGACAGAACTCTTTGTAACATCAAGCACTTCAGGTGGGTTGTTTGGAGGCTCTGGAGGATCTATGAATAATAATAGCAAAAATAATAGAAATAATAGTGACAAAGCATTAAAATTTTTGTATATATTATTGCACTTTTAAATCATAATGTAGTAACTAATTTTCTATTTTTTTATTTTTTTTTTAAATCTAAGATGGAACTTACTTAGAGGTGTCTTTGGTACTGCTGGTTCTTCAGATTTGAGAGATTTGCTAATACCGAAATGGTTTTCAGCAGAAACACGGAAGTGATATTCCACATTTTCTTTGAGCCCTTTCACCACCAGTGATGTCCCTTTCACTCTGGAGTCAACAGTGTACCAGGCAGTCTTTGGTACTTCTCTTCTCTCAACAATATAACCTAGGATATCTGCACCACCATCGTCTGTAGGAGGTCTCCAGCTTACTCTGACGGAACGAGCTTGTATATCATCATACTCCAGTGGCCCTTCTGGTGGATTTGGAATGCCAATCACTCTGACTTTAATATACACAGCTTTTTTGCCACACTTGTTTTCAAGTGCCAAATCATAGGTTCCTGAATCTTCTCTTTCTGCATCTTTGATCACAAGTTCTGTGTGAGTCTCAGAAGTCGCAATCATGGCCCTCTTGCTGATGTCTTGTCCTTCTTTTGTCCATTTGCATACTGGGATGGGCTTACCCTTAATGGGTATTGTAAGCCTGATTACTCCACCTTGTCTCACCATGAGACCTTCTTGGTATTTTTCGTCAAGTTCATAGTCAGGATATTCTGTAAACAAAATTAAGATGTCATGTTACGTCTGTTTTACAGATGATAGCATACTTGTCTTAGGCAAATATTTTTTTTAGGACAACTTTCAACAGAAGTTAAGGCTTGAAGTATCTTACCAAGCATTTCTGTTATTTTGACTGTTCCTGGCACTTCAGCAGGTTCTCCTGGCCCACCAGCATTACAGGCTAGCACACGGAATCTGTACTCTGCACCCTGGGGAAGATGTGTCAAGGTGTATTCACGAATCTTGGTTGGCGTAGTGTTGCATTTGGTCCATTCAAATTGATCAACCTTCTGCATCTCAATTAAGTAGCCAGTAACTTTAGAACCACCTTCATCTTCTGGGGGACTCCAGGCCAGGGAGACAGATGTTCTTGTAGTATCAGTGACTCTTGGATTCTGAGGTTTACCTGGAGGAGCTGGAAGGGAAGATCAGATAGGGTGGGGGTTTTTTAACGAATATTTAAAAGATTAAACAAATGCTAACTTGCAACATGTGATCTGTAATAAGTCTACAGTCTATTTATATAGGAAAATTTTGAATGAAAGATTTTCACTAATATTTTCTCTGTTCTCTCCAGTCAGAATCTCATTTATTAATACACCCAGATAAATTTCTGAATGAGAAAAAAGAGTAAATTTTACTACTGTCATTCCTTTTTGCCATAATGTGCTTAATGTATGTAGGAAAGTACTTACCAATTGGATCTCTGGCAACAGCAGACTTGGAAGGACGGCTGGGTTTCCCAGTGCCTCTGGCATTGATTGCTGTGACTCGGTGTTCATATTCCAGTCCTTCGACCAACCCAGTGGAACGGTAACGAGTCATAGTAACTGGGACTTTATTTACACGGATCCATCTATCTGCTCTAACTTCTTTGCGTTCAACAATATAACCAGTGATCTGTGAGTCACCGTCATCTTCTGGAGGATACCAAGTTAATGTCATGCCATCTCGAGAGATATCAAACACTTCTGGAGTGCCAGGAGGACCAGGAATACCTGTAAAACAGGACACAGAATTAGTGAAAAAATCAAATGATTCTATGCATTAGTAATATGCAACGTATTGTGAATGACAATATAATATCAATGTCCTGTCAAACTCTTTTTATCAGCAGATATCTAAGTACTTTACAAATTAGGTCAGCAAAATACTCTTGGCCTTGTAATGAGGTAAAGCAATTTTTCAAGACTGTTAGTAGACCTGAGCAGAAAATCCAAGTTTACAATTCACATTGTGTGCAGTTCATATGCAATACCTACACAGATTTATGGATGGCATTTTTCCCCAGAAATAAAACAAGATTATTGTGGAACATAATGTACCATTTTACTTGGCAAAAGGAAGCAGTAACATTCAGAAAAATCTAATCTATGCATGGGTACATAAGCCCATTTAAATATATATTTATATTTTTAAAGGTAGAGAATAAACAAATTTCTGACTTACGGATTCTGCTCTTGCATTCTATAATTTCAGACTGTAGGTAAGATCCGATTCCAAAGCGGTTTGTAGCAGCCACACGGAACACATATTCTGCACCTTCAACAAGTCTGGTGAACTTAAATGTTGTCCTGGTTACTGACTCTGAAACTGGCAGCCATCCAGGACGGTGAGCATCACGCTGTTCTACCACATATCCACTAAGGGCAGCTCCACCATCCAGCTCAGGTGGGTCCCAGGAGACGGTTACATAATTTGAATCAACTTCGTCAATTCGGATAGGTCCAACAGGTGGTCCAGGTTTGTCTAGGAAATAAAAAAGAAAATTAAAAAACAAGTGGAAAAAAGGAATCATATTGCTCATGTAAAAGCTCAAATGGAGAAAGATCATGGACAATTATTTGCATTAATTCTTACCAAGGATTATAACCTTTAGTGTATCAGTAACTGTTCCAGTTGTGTTCTTCAGTTCAAGTGTATAGTCTCCGGTGTCATGTATGGTGGTCTCACGCACAGTTAATTTAGTCATTTTGGCAACAGTCTCCATTTTGATGCGTTCTGATTCTTTTAGTTTAGAACCAGCAAAGAACCAAGATGCAGTTGGAGGTGGTCGTCCTTCAATTGGAATGGCTAACTCAATGGGCTTGCCAGCAGGTACATGAATTGTCTTCTGAGGTATTCCAGCAAAGTCAATTGTTGGCAGAACTAAGAAAAGAAATTAATTGATATTAAATTGATTGATATTTAATTGATTTTAAATACCTGTTTTATAAATATCACACTTACTTCATGTAAGCTTCACCCTCTTATTTGCAACAGTGGACACCTACCTTTTTGGTCTTGGACTGTTACTGCTGTGACAATCTCTCGTGGTTCTGACACGCCTTTCTGATTCTGTGCTCTAACCCTGAACAAGTACTGTTCGCCTTCATTGAGAGAGATAATTGTATGTTCGTAGACAGTAGGCTTCAGTGTCACTACCTTCAACCATCTTTCTGTTCCAGCTTTGCTGGCCTCAATAACATAGCCTGTCAATCTGCTGCCACCATCATGCAGTGGCTTCTCCCATGCAAGAGTAACAGTTGATTTAGTGGTGTCAATCACTTCGAGTTTTTGTGGTACCATGGGGACATCAGATACTAGTACTGCATCAGATGTTTCACAAGCTTCACCAATGCCATAAATATTTTCTGGCAGTACTCTGAAATAATACAAAGCTCCTTCTAGAAGTCCAGTGACTCTATAAAATGTTTTGCTGCATTTGGTAGTCACAGTCTTGTAAGCTCTCATGGAAGCTTCACGTTTCTCGATTATGTAATTGTTGACTGGGGCTCCACCGTCAATGTTTGGAATATCCCAAGTAAGTGTCACAGAATCTTTTGATGCTTCCTTAACTTTCACTGACGATGGTGGACCAGGTGTATCTAAAACAAACAACAACAACAACCAAACATTTTTTTTCTTCTGTATCCTTTCATTTTACAGTCAATGACTGCTTCTGCATAAAAGAAATGCTTGGATTTGATTTATAAACTAGCACAGCTTCAGACACTATGTATTTTCCTTTGGTTTAGATTGTTTCTCTGACTTCTCAAACATGTTATTTAAACTTCTAATGTTATTTAAACTGCAAACTTCCTTTGGAATTGAATGACACTTATTCTTGAGTAATGAGCACAAAGAGTGGTGGAATGCCCACATACAAACGTAACAGTACTTACCATACACTTTCACAGAAATAGTTGCAGATTTTTTTCCAGATTGATTTTCAGCCTCAATGATGTATTTTCCAGCATCATATCGATTAACTTTATCCACAATAAGCAGAGTGTAGCTGTCTGTAGTATCAATAATAGCTCGACTTACAAGGTCAACACCCTGCTTGCTCCATGTGATTACAGGAGAGGGTCTGCCAGATACAGAGACCATTAGGCGGAGGGAACCACCAGCTCTGACTGTAACCGTCTTCTTCAGATCATCAGCAAGCTCAAGCTCAGGTATTTCTGATGAAAGGTATAAGAAACACGGAATTAATTATTCTTTCAATAGTTCTAAAGGAAAATATAGTTATTCTGCAAAATAGACAGTAGGTTTTCAAATTACCTATTCTTTCCACAGGTTCTATTTCTGCTGATGATTCACTAAATTCACTCATACCATTCACATTTGTAGCAGCAACTCTGAATTGGTATTTCTGGTTTGTTTTAAGACCAGTCACGGTGAACTCAGCATTCCTCAGAGTAGCGGTTGTATGTGGTCGATACCACTGCTCACTACCTTCTTCTTTCATCTCAAGAACATAGCCTAAGATGTCAGCACCACCATCGTATGTGGGCTTTGACCATGCTAAGCTTATGCTGTGCTTAGTAGTATCCACAACTCTTGGAACTGAAGGTGATGCAGGAGTATCTTTGAAAAAGAAGAAAATGCATTTCACACTAGTGTAGATAACATTTTACAGGCAAAAATTATTTCCAAACAGCTAAATCTGGGAAATACATTTTAGATGAAGTATAACTCTTTTAAAGTTTATTCTAATACTAGCTTGTTCAGTGACTGTATATGTGGTTATGGGTTTCTTAGTTGAAGTTTATACTCCATTATTATAAATAAATATTAAAATATTTATATAACTTACATGTTGGTTCTTTACATAACATGTACTGTGAAGCTTCACTAGGTTCACTGTTTCCAGCAGCATTCACTGCAGTGACACGGAATTGGTACTGGCACCCTTCCATGAGACCAGTGACTTTCAGTCTGGTATCATAAATGGTGTAATCTCTGTTCACTCGTGTCCAGCGTAGACTTTTCCTTTCACGTTTGTCCACAAGATAGTCCTTAATCTCACTACCACCATCTGATTCTGGTTTCGACCACTGAATAATGATATGTTCCTTGCCAACGCTCACTTCTTCAGGAGCACCAGGTTGTGTTGGAATAGCTATTTTTTTAAAGGTGAAAAAAAATATTATTTAGCACATTGTTTATCTATGAGAACTGTTCCACAAATTCTGATGCTGAATGGAAGGTAGTAACACTCACTGAAAGCATTCCTGGCAATCACGGGTTCCGATTCAAGTGGAACACCTGGTCCATATTTGTTGACAGCTCTCACACGGAAGATGTATTCATTATTTTTAATAAGTTTTGTTACCACAGTGGATAATGTCTGGCATTCAGCCTCAACAATAACCCAGTGAAGTCTGCTGGTTTCACGCCTTTCTATGATATAGTGAGTGATTTCTGCACCTCCGTCTTCCTCAGGAATGTTCCATGCCAGAGTACATTTCTCTTCTGTTACTCTGCTAATCATGATTTTGCCTGCACATGGACCTGGTGAATCTGCGTATGGATCAAAATAAGTGTTGTAATCAGTGCCTAAGGAAAAGCATCTCATTATTATTTAAAAGAATGTGGTTTTTTTAATATATTAAGTATGAATATTAAACATGGGATACGTACCAAGCACTTTGACAAGAACGGAAAGTTGTTTCATTCCACTGGCATTTTTAACTGTTAGAGTATATTTTCCACTATCGCTTCTGTCACAGAACTTGATAATTGCAATAGCTCGTTTGCTGGTGTATTGCAGGGATATCTTTTCACATAGGTCCAGTTCCCTGTCACCTTTGGACCAGAAGACTTTTGGTTCTGGTTTCCCACCAACAGCTGCATCAAGAACAAGGTCCGATCCAGCTCTAATGCTCAAAACTTCTCCCTGCAGTCTGGCATCAAGTTCAGCCTTTGGTGGTGCTGAAAAGAGAGATTTGGGAAAAAATTACATGACAGTGCTAAAAATAGGACATTATTTTTTAATTGTTCCAAGTGAATATTCCTTACAGTATTCGTCTTTGCAAATGACAGCACCAGTTGATTCAGATCCTTTGCTAATCACACCAGCAGCATTCTTTGCTAGTACACGGAATTCATAGGCTTCATCTTCACCAAGAGCTGTCACAGTAAAGAAGTTTTCTGAGACAATGGTATAATTGCATTTCAGCCAGCGTCCATCACCAGATTCATTATATGGTTTGCGCTCTATAATATATCCAATAATTTTGCTTCCACCATCATAAAGTGGGGGTGACCAGCTCAGTGACACTGTAGATCTGGTCACATCTGTTACTTCTGGTCTTCCTGGTGGATCTGGAGGAATAAAACAGAAAAAATGAGAAATGCAATTCTGTTTTAGCTTAAGTAACAATGTAACTCTAAAAGTAATACTTACCAACTGGATTTTGAGCCACTACAGGTCTGGAAGCTTCACTAGCTTTGCTAACACCTGCAGCATTTAGAGCATAGGTTCTGAACTGATATTCTAGGCCTTCCACCAACCCTGTGACTTTGTAGTTGCATTCACAGCAGGGCACTTTGTTCTCTTTCACCCAAAGGATGGTGTTGCGCTCCTTCTTTTCCACCCAATACCCAATGACTTTGCTGCCACCATCATGATAGGGTTCCTCCCAGCGAATGGCCATGGCAGTGGCAGATGCAGAATAGACTTCTGGCCTTGAAGGTGGGCTTGGTGGGACTAAAAACAAAAAAGACAGGGAGGAAAATATTAGTGATTACAAATACCACAGTCAGAGGAAAAGAACAAATTTTGAGAAGTGTTTCACTTACCAAATGGATGCTCAGCAACTACTGTTTTTGATTCAAGCGGCTTGCTGACACCAAATCTATTTTCTGAGCTTACTCGGAAACTGTACTCTTGGTATTTTGTGAGATGACTGACTTTAATCTGTGTTCGTTTCACACTGGAATTTACCAGCTGCCATGCTGTTGTGCCAGACTCACGTTTCTCTACAATGTAGTTTGTAATGTCACTGCCACCATCATCTTCAGGTTCTTTCCAAGTCAACACACAGGACTCAGCAGAGACAGATGATATTTCAATTGGGCCAGTGACAGGACCTGGTCTTCCTATGACTACCACCGTGACAGCAAATGTTTTCACACCAGCAGTGTTTTCAAGTGTAAGGTAGTATTTACCAGAGTCACCTCTCATACTGTCCTTTACAGTCAGTGTGGTTCTGTCTTTTGTTGTCTTGATAGTCACTCTCTCAGTTTCCTTCAGCTTCATCTCCTCAAGTTTCCATGTCACTTTTGGAGCTGGGCGCCCACTGATTGGTATATCAATCGTAAACGTGCTTCCAGCCTTGCATGTTATGAGCTGTCTGCTTATATCGCTGAGATCTGCTGTTGGTTCAATCTGTGGCTCCTTAACAATAACAGAAGAGAAAGCTTCTCTTGGCTCACTGTAGCCAGCATCATTTTTCGCCTTCACCCGGAACTCATATTCAGTGTTCTCCACAAGGCCTTCAACAGTGAAAGTAAGTTGCTTGGTTTGTCCAGCTCCAATCCAGGAGTCAGATCCTTTTTGTTTCATTTCAAGAAGGTATCCAGTAATACGGCTACCACCATCATGATCAGGCTTAAGCCAAGCTAAAACTACAGAAGATTTGGTGGTATCAACAATATCTAGTCTCTTAGGTGGAGCGGGTTCTTCCGTGGCTACAACCGGTTCTGTTAATTCACAGGGTTCACCTACACCATATTCATTTTCTGCTGATACTCGGTAGTAATATGGCACACCTTCTGCTAGATCTGTGACCTTAAAGATCTGTCGAGTGCATTTTGAACTCACTACTTGCCAGCTGCGACGACTTGCTTCACGTTTTTCCACAACGTAGTGATGGATACGAGAACCTCCATCCAGAACAGGAGCATCCCACATTAAAGTAATAGATCCTCGAGTCACATCTTTAAATGTAATAGGACCTGGTGGACCAGGCGTGTCCAAAACCTTGACAGTAAATGTAATAGACTTACTTCCACTGTTGTTTTCCACAGTAAAGACATACTTGCCAGCATCATTTCTATTGCATTCCTCCACAGTCAATGTGCTGAAAGAATCAGTTGTTTGAATGTCAGCACGCAAGCTGAGATTAGCATCTGCTTTGGACCACACTGCAGTAGGAACAGGCCTTCCAGAGAAGGCAATAAATAGACGAATGCTTGCACCTGCTCTTACAATATGAGTCTGCTTGAAGTTTGCATCGATATCAATTTCGGGTGCAGAAAGCCTGTCCACAGTTTGGACTGAAGCAGCAATTTCACAACTCTCTCCTTTGCCAGCGCCATTGACAGCACTAACTCTGAATTTATAGTGTTCTCCTGCCTCCAAATCAACAACGGTATATTTAGTAGCAATAACAGTCTCTGCATTGACTTTCTGCCATGATTCAAGGTCAGCTTTGCACATCTCAATGATGTACCCAATTATTTCCATGCCTCCATCAAAAACTGGCTTTGTCCACTCTAAGCTTACACTAGTCTTTGATGTATCTGTCACCTTTACAACATTAGGAGCACTTGGTGGGCTGACTGGTTCTCTACATTTAATCAGCTTTGAAACATCACTTGCAGGTCCAACTCCTGCAGCATTTTCAGCCATGACATGGAACTCATACTCATTGCCTTCAATAAGGCCAGTTACTCTGTATCTGTTCTCAGTAATGGGCCTCTTACTGGATACTTTAACCCAGCGCATGCTCTTCTTTTCTCTCCTTTCAAGAATATACTCATTTATCTCGCTTCCACCATCTGACTCTGGTCTTGCCCATGTAAGTGTGATACTGTCTCCTGTTACGTTGGTAGGCTCTGGAGTTCCTGGTGCATCAGGGAGAGCTGAAAAAAGAAAAACATCATTAGAAAGACAAGATGGTAACTCCATAGATATTTGTGCAGAATGAGGTGGAAACTTACTGTAAGGTATTTGTGCAATAACTGGATCAGACTCCAGTGGTCTGCCAACTCCAAATTTGTTCACTGCAGAGATGCGGAACTGGTACTCATTGCCCTTAATTAATTTAAGTGCTGTGTAGCTGCAAGCTTCACATTTATCTTCAACTAATGCCCAAGCAATCCTGCTGGTTTCACGTTTTTCAATTATGTAGTGAGAAATAGAAGCACAACCATCATTAGCTGGAGGCTCCCACCATAATGTGACTTTTTCTCCAGTGATGTTTGTGAATCGTATTGGTCCACCAACTTTTCCTGGTGTGTCTGCAAAATTAAAGGTTCAGAGTTATAACTTGCTGACATTAGAATAAAATACTATTTTAAAAAAGCATGCTGTAGGTGTTTGGTGCAGTACCTTGTACTCTGATGGTAATATCTTCTCGTTTAGTGCCTGATGCATTTTTGGCTTCTACTGTGTACACTCCACGATGATCCCGGATAGCATCTCTAATGAAGATTGTACTATATCCAATAGCTGTAGTTATTTCTATATTCATTGTTCTCTCTATCTCTTTACCATCCTTAAACCATGTCACTTTAGGTACTGGACGTCCTCTGATTAGAGCTTTAACTGTAATGCTCTCTCCAGCTTTAACAGTAAGGCCTTCAAAGTGCTCAGCACCAAATTCAATTGTTGGAGCAACTAAAAAAGGAAAACATAATTCAATTTCCACATAGCAAAGTATTTTTCTGGATACTCTTCTAAATGTACTAATTGTAAAAGCTTGTAATATATAGAATTCTTTCACTTAGAAAATGACATTCTCTAAATACCAGTTATTATATGAACTATATACTTATTTTTCCTGTAAGCACCTGTAAGTACATCATATTAATAATAGATGAAAGACTCTCTTCATATGTGCTGTTAATAGTATGCCAAGCTACCTGAGGCACATTTCAGTTTCTGAATTATCAGTCCATCAGAATATTACAGTTTATGCTTTCTTTCCAATTTTGCTGCTGCTACTTCTGCTTATCCAAGAGAAATGTAGAGTGCCATGCCTTTCAGCAATTGATTATGTATGTCTGCCAGATTTGGGTCTTTAATTTAGACCATCCCATCTTGGAGGACAAACATAAATGTTCTGAATTGAATGGAAGGATCTCAGTAACAAGTTCTTTGCCCCTTGGCTTCCCATTTCCCGTCGGTACAGCCAGAAACTCTATCTGGCTGCAGTACCCAAATACAAGCATATTAAGAAATAATTCTTACCGTTTTCATCTCTGGTCATGATATAGCCTGAAGACTGTGAAGGCGGGCTGATGGTACCAACAGCATTTCTTGCAAGCACTCTGAATTCATATCGGTCACCTGCATTAAGTCCTGTAACCGTATATTGGCATTCACTGACATCAGTAAAGTTACACCTAAGCCAACGGTCTTTACTTCCTTGCCGTTTCTCAATGCTGTAAGCCACAATCTTACTGCCTCCATCACGCAGTGGGGGGGTCCATTTGAGGGTGATTGTTTCTCTAGTGACATCTATGTAATCAGGAGTACCAGGTGGGTCTGAAAGGGAAATAATGAAGATTTATTTTTATTACTGCTCACAATAGTTTACAAGAATAGAATTTTCTTGGATGAGTGATTGATCATTCACTTACCCACTGGAGAGACTGCCAAAGTAAATTTGCTTGGCTCGCTAGCTCGGCTTAGACCTGCAGCGTTTTCAGCATATACTTGGAACTGGTAATCCAGGCCTTCAAGCAGTCCAGTAATCCTGTATTCTCTGCTAGATATTAATGCAACATTAACCTTCTGCCACAAAATACTGTTTCTTTCCTTCTTTTCAACGTGGTATCCAATGATCTCTGAACCACCATCATAAGCAGGAGCATCCCAAGATATGGTCATTCCATCAGCAGTTATATTGTATACAACAGGCTTGCCTGGGGCACCTGGTGGTCTAAACTGATGCTTTGCCACAACATCTGCTGAGACAAGAGGTGGGCTCACTCCGTATCTGTTTTCTGCACGGACTCTAAACTGATATTCAGTGTCTTTAACAAGGTTTGGCACTTTGAAGGTTGTTCTTGCAGCACTTGAACACACCAGCTTCCAGTTCATTTGTGAGGTTTCTCTCTTCTCAATACTGTATCCAGTAATTTCTCCTCCCCCATCATCCTCGGGAGCTTCCCATGACAAAACTACACTATCTGCTTTGATTTCATCTAGTCTTAAAGGTGCTTTTGGCTTAGATGGAGGACCAAGAGTGATAACAGTAAATGTGAATGATTTTCTGCAGACTACATTATCAAGAATTAAAGTATATTTGCCACCATGCTCCTTTTTCACATTCTTGATGCTTAAGCTTATCTTGTTTTCAGTTTTCTTGAAACGAAGTTGTTCTGTTTCTTTAAGAGGGAGGTTGTCCTTGAGCCAGCTCATTGATGGCTTAGGTTTACCTTTATAGGGCAATTCAGTGTGCAGGTTATGTCCAATTCTTACTGCAATCTGTCCTCCAGGAATATCAGAAAGGTCAGCCTCAGGTGTTATTATAAGTTCCTTCACTGTAATGGGTCCAACAGTAACAGAGTCACTCATGCCTTTTTCATTTTTAGCAAAGACTCTGAATTCCATGACAGAAAGCTCTTTAAGTTTTTCAGCTACAAATTCACAGCTCTTGCTTGTGCCTGCATATGTCCATTCTTTCTCTTCCTGAAGTTTCTTCTCAATAACATAGTCTGATATAATGCTACCACCATCATAGTCCGGTTTGCTCCACTGCAATGTAACAGAACTCTTTGTAGAATCTTTCATTGCCAGGTCTTTTACAGGTCCAGGTACATCTGCAGCTTTCACTGGTTCAGAGGTCTCACAAGGTTCACCCAGTCCAATTTCATTTTCAGCAAGAACACGGAAGAAGAACGAAGTCTTCTCTGACAAGTTAGTTAGCTTAAAGGTGGTATTAGAACATTTTGTTGTAACAGTTGACCAGGCCCTCTTTGTAGCATCTCTTTTTTCAACAACATAATTTGTTATTTCAGAACCACCATTAATAAGAGGTGGCTCCCATACCAGTGTAACTGTGCCACGAGAAACATGCTTAAGCTGCAGCTTCTGGCAAGCAGAAGGTGTGTCAAGTACTTTTACATTCACAAATGATGATTTTGCTTCTCCAACTCCATTTTCAATTGTAAGAACATATTTTCCTGTATCATTTCGGGTAACTTGAGGAATAATAAGTAATGTAGATGATTCTGTGTTCTGAATTATATATCTTTCATCAGTTCCAAGATTCTTGTCACCCTTTCTCCATGTGACTGTTGGAGGAGGCCTTCCTTTAAATGGAATCATTATTTCCACATCTTCACCTGCTTTAGCAACAATAGATGTCCGGAGAGCAACATCCAGATCAATCTCTGGTGCCACTGTGGAAATAAATAAAAATCAATAATGCCTGCTTGCAATGTAAAATAAGAAATGCTTTGAAAAAAAAAAACCCAACCCCCCCCCCCCCCCGAAAAATGATAAATCACTAAAAAGTACAGTACCAAGAATATCTTTAGCTTGAATGGGTTCCATCATTTCAATAGGCTCTCCTTGTCCAGCACAATTCATAGCAGACACACGGAAATAATAATTAACACTTGGCTGAAGGTGTGATACAACATACTCGGTTGTTCTCACTTCTCCCTTGGTACTGACTACAGTCCATTCTTGCTCTTCGCCTTCCCTTTTCTCCACCACATAGCTGGTAACTGGACTTCCTCCATCGTAAGTAGGTTTAATCCAGCCAAGGGTGACAGATGTCTTGGTTGTATCCACAACCTTCAGCTTTGTTGGTGAGCCTGGCTTATCTGTAAATGATAATTAGGGGGAAAAAACACCAATCAGAATCCATATTTACAATTAATCATAAAGAGGAAGAAAATATGCCCTCCATTACATTGGTGCAATCCCACACTAATTGCTCATTGTTCATGGGCTTCTAACCAACAGGAAATACTGCATGTTGTATCTTACCAATAGGATCTGCAGCTTTGTAGAAGTCAGAAGCTTCAGAGAACGGACCTTGTCCAGCTGCATTGACAGCACAAACTCGGAAATGATATTCACTGTTTTCAGTCAGACCTGTTACTTTCTGTCTGGTGTCTCGAATACTTTCTTTAGTAACCTTGAACCAACTCAGACTCTTCTTGTCACGCTTCTCAAGAAAATATCCTGATATTTCACTGCCTCCATCAACTGTGGGCCTATTCCAGACAACGGTCATAGAATTCTTGGTTATCTTTGTGACTTCTGGTACACTAGGTGGTCCGGGTGTAACTGATTAAAAAATTATATGTCAGTAGATTAGTACTAGTTACCAATAATACACAAGACAATTCAGTTGTGTAAGTTATTTTATATGTTTCTTACCAAATGAATTTTTGGCTATAACAGGTTCAGATTCAAGTGGGTCACCAATTCCAAACTTGTTCACACCACGGACACGGAACAAATATTCATTTCCTTTGATGAGTTTTGTTGTAGTTATGATACATCCCTCCAGTTTTTCAGAAATTAAAGACCAAACAACCCGACTTGTCTCCCGCTTTTCAACAACATAGTGTGTTACAGGTGCACCACCATCATCTGCTGGTGGGTCCCACATTATTGTAATCTTTTCAGCAGTGACTGACTTAAACTGTATAGGTCCAGTTGGAGGTCCTGGCTTGTCTGTGAAAGGCAGAAGAAAGAAGATGTTAAGTATTTATTACTGAGGTATTGTTCAATAGTAAAATACAGTCGCATCTCAAGACATACCAAGTATCTGTAGTCTAATGTGGGCAGATGCTGAACCCATGGCATTCTTTAGTTTTAATTCATAGGTGCCACTGTTGAGTCGATTTGCATCCTTGATGAGTATAGAAGCAAATTCTGTTGTGTTTTCAAAAGACACTAGTGCACTGGTTTGTACCTCGTTGCCATTTTTGAACCATTCAATTGTGGGTATAGGCTTGCCTGAGATGCCTAATTTTAGCTTAACTGAAGTTCCTGCTTTGTATTTCACCACTTCTGTATATTCTGGTGGCACATCAATTTCAGGTGCACCTTAAGAAAAAATAAGAATAAGTTAAAAATATGCTTATTTTAGCCCTGTATTTAATAAAACACCAAAATAGTAGTACTTTATTTAAGATAATATTTACAGGTATTTGATAAATGCAGATCAAATATAGCATATATAACTTAAATTATAAACCTAGAACAAGTTAGAACCAAGACAAGACAATCACATGTATAAATATAATGACTTCGGCCATGGGGCATTGAAGCAGACAGAAGTCTTTCTGTTGCTCTTAGAATAGATACCATAAGACTCTAAAATGCAGATATAGCCAAAGATGTTCATTGCAATCATGCCCAAATGCTCACAGTCATTCAAGCTTCTTGAATCAATCACTGTAAACCAGCCTTCCGTATTTAAAAGACTATGGATCTACAAAACAGTACTGCCTTTAACCTTTCTAGTACCACAAAATGATACCATTACATCATTGCAAAACACTTACCATATGTATCAACACATGTGATAGGACCCACAACATCTGAGGGGTTACTGATGGAACCAACGGCATTCTTAGCAAAGACGCGGAATTCATAGCGGGAATTCTGTGTCAGACCAGATACTGTGAACTGAGTCTCAATAACATTGGTGAAGCTTGCTTTTGTCCATCTGCCATCTGGAAGATCACGTTTTTCTACAATGTATCCAGTGATCTTGCTACCACCATCAAATGCTGGCTTCTGCCAGGAGAGAGTGACAGCAGTCTTGGAAATATCTGAGACACGGACATTTCTTGGTGGTTCTGCAGTAGGAAACATAAGAATATTGCCAATGAATAACAGTTGTTTTGAATATTGGCTTACTGCACAGAACAGACTATCATAGGGAAAACAAAATGGTTGGGCTTCTTTATTTTCTAGAGAATACATACCACAAGCGTCAATTGCAAGGACTGGATCAGAAGGACGACTCGCTTTTCCAATGCCAGCTGCATTTTCTGCATAAACTCTAAATTCATAGATAAGGCCAGCACTGATGGTGGTGACTTTGAAATGAGTGGTGCGAATAAGCGTCTTGTTAGCCTTCTGCCATAATATGCTATTCCTGTCTTTCATTTCCAGGTGGTATCCAATGATAGCATTGCCACCATTAGTGACTGGTTCATGCCATCCGACAGTAATACTCTCTCGGGTGACACTGGTGACCCATGGTGTGGAAGGAGGGCCAGGGGTAGCTGATGATATCAAAAGAAGTGGTTAATTGTTAATAAAATTACATTTTCAACATCAGAGCATTAAAACATCAACTTATACCACAAGAAGCATGTTACTCACTGTAAGGAAGCTTGACAACCACACACTGTGAGTCTATGTGATCACTGATGCCAAAGCGGTTCTCAGCTTTGATGCGGAATTGGTATTCTTCTCCTGTCGTGAGCCTCATAACTTTGATAACTGTTCTAGCAACAGTTGCAGACACTTCAGACCAAGCTGCAGTACTTGTTTCTCTTTTCAGTACAATATAGTTGGTAACTTGACTTCCACCATCATAAGCTGGTGGTTGCCATCTAAGTGTTACACTCTCTTCAGTGACGTCGCTAAGGACAACAGGACCAACAGGAGGACCAGGTCTATCCAGCACAACAATATTAACAAATGATTTTGTGGTGCCACTTGAATTGGCAGCAGTAATGTCATATCTGCCAGCATCAGCAGCCACACTTTCTTTAAGGTTAATGACAAGACTTTCTGCAGTGGTTTCTGTGTGAAATCTCATAGTGGGTTTCAGTGGAACACCATCTCTAGACAATGTCACCTTTGGCAACGGTTTTCCAGAAACTGGAATTTCAACTTTCAGGTTTGATCCTGATCTAACATATACAGTGTTATGAGGGAAGCCTTTCATGTCAATCTCAGGAGATTCTGAAAAAGAAAACAGTTTCAAACCATTAAAAAATGTTCTATCTTTTAAAATATGAATGCAATTGAATGTGTATCAACTTTTGTTCTCATGTCAGGAAGCATACCTAATTGTTCTTTAACTGTAACAGGAAGTAGTAGTTCCTTAGGATCACTTAAACCAGCTTGGTTTTCTGCATACACTCTGAAGAAATAGTCAGTATTCTCCTTAAGACCATGGACAACATGATGAGTTGTTTTTACAACTGCACACTTAACCCATTTTTGCTGTCCTTTCTCCAGAGCTTCAATGAGGTAGCTCACAATTCTGCTTCCACCATCATGTTCTGGTTTTAGCCATGAAAGAGAAACACTGTCCTTTGTGACATTTGTAACTCCTAGTTTTTCTGGTGGGCTGGGTTTTTCTGAGAAAAAAAATGCAAGAGGTTAAACAATATAGAAAGTATTTACTTTTTGTATTAGTAATTACACAGGAATGCCATCTGGTTCAAATTTATATATTTTACAAATTTGTATATTAGAAATACTTTAAGTAGAATGCAAACAGAATTTAAAATTCAAGCTATTATTTATTCCTTTTTTGTTTGTTAAACCACAGACAAACCTACAAAAAAAAATGACCTATTTTACTGTCAGTGGATTTAAAACTTTTTTACATTATTTCAAAATAAAAACTTTAAAACATATAAACTATTAAAAAGTATTTTTTTCATAGTAAGACATACCTGTTATTTTTGTTCCTTCCTTGGTCTCAGAAGGCACTCCAACACCATACTCATTTTCTCCAGAGACCCGGAAGTAGTAAATGCCACCTTCTTGCAAACCAGTCACTTTGTAGGACAGGCGATGACAATTGTTTGTCACAGTGACCCATGCTTTTTTGCTAGCTTCTCGTTTTTCAATTACATAGTTCTTTACAGGTGCTCCGCCATCATTTTCAGGAACATCCCAGGATAACACAGCAGATTCTTTAGTTATGTCTTTTGTTGCAATATTAGATGGTGGGCCAGGAGTATCAAGAACTTTGACAATTAAAGTCAATGTAGCAGTGTTCAGGATGTTTTGTAGTGTTAAAGTGTATTTTCCAGAATCATTCCTTGTTGCTTTTTCAATAGTGAGAGATGTACAATTATCTGAAGTGTCAATGCTTGCTCGTACACGAAGATCAGTGTCTGGTTTGTTCCATGTTACATTTGGGACTGGTTTGCCTCTGAAAGGAACAGTCATTGTGAATGATCCACCAGCCCTTACAATTAAAGTCTTCCGCATTTCACTGTCAATATCAAAAGCAGGTTCTTCCTCTCTTTCTTTTGCCAGCTGAGGTTCTGAGACATCACTTGGTTCACTGACACCCATTTTGTTAATAGATTTCACTCTAAAAACATACTCAGAGCCTGATACTAATCCACTTATAGTATATTCTGTGCCTCTTAAATTCTGAATAGCAGTTGTCCAGTCAGTTTCATCAGTTTTCTTGTATTCAACAGTGTATCCTGTTACTGGGGCACCTCCATCAAACAGTGGCTTTGTCCAACCAATTGTGATATTTGACCTTGTAGAATCCATAATCTTAGGTTTAGATGGGGGTGATGGCAAGAAGATTGGATCTTCTGCTTTAATCAATGGTGTGGTTTCACTTGGGAGACTGAGGCCAGCAGCATTTTCTGCATAAACCCGAAATTCATATTCACATCCTTCACGGAGACCAGATGATTTCACTCTTAAATCATAAACTGGCTTTTTGTTTACACGAATCCATCTTAGGCTGGTTTTCTCACGCCTTTCAATTACATAGCCAGAGATCTCACTGCCTCCATCAGACTCAGGTCTTGCCCAGCACAGAGTTATCGAATCTTTGCTCACACTGGTAATCTCTAAAGATGTAGGTGGACTTGGAACTGTAAATGGGTCTAGGGCTTTGACAGCAACACTTTCTAGAGGCTCACCAACACCGTATTTGTTAACTCCCATCACTCTGAAAATATACTCATTACCCTTTAGTAATTTTGTCACTTTACAGGATGTTGTTCTAAGCTCTCCTTCGCAAAGTGTCCATGCAATTCTGCTGGTCTCACGTTTTTCCACAATATAATAATCAATATCTGCACCACCGTTTTCTTGAGGGGGTCCCCATGATAAATGGCACTTTTCAGCAGTAAGGCCTTTTATTTCTAATGGGCCTGCAGGTGGGCCAGGTCTGTCAAGCACTTTGCAATTAATTGCCAAAGATCTTGTTCCTGCAACATTTTGTAATGTTAGTACATACTGTCCTGAATCACTTCGGATACAGTCCTTAATGGTTATTGCAGTCGTATAATCTGTTGAGACTATTTCAACTCTAGCTTTTCCTTCAAGCTCCTTACCATCCTTTGTCCATGAAACCACTGGTATTGGCCGACCTGCAATATCAGCATTGACTTTAAACACTTCTCCAGCTTTCACAACTACAACATCCCTGAATTTGGCATCCATCATAATTCTTGGAGCCTCTACATCATCTTTTACGGTCACAGGTCCAGTTGATTCAGATGGCTGACTGAAGAGTCCAGCAGCATTCTTTGCAATAACACGGAATTCATATCGCTGGTCTTCTGTAAGTCCACCTACGTCAAAGTATGTTTCTTGCACATTAGTAAAATTACATTTTAGCCAGCGACCATCTGGTATCTCTCTGCGTTCAATAATATATCCTGTTACTTTAGCTCCACCATCGTATTCTGGTTTAGTCCACTTCAGTGAGACAGATGTTCTTGTAATATTTATAACTTCTGGTTGACCGGGAGGATCACATGGATCTCTTGCAGCAACTGGTTCACATGATTTACTGCATTTGCCTATTCCAGCAATGTTTTCTGCATACACACGATATTCATATAGCAGTCCTTCATCAAGACCTGTAACTTTCATTTGTGTATCAGTTATAAGGCTCTTGTTGACTTTTGTCCAGAGAATGCTGCTTCTTTCCTTACGCTCCAAGTGATATCCTAGTACTACGCTACCTCCATCATTAACTGGTACCTGCCAAGTTACAATCATGAAAGCTTTAGTTGCGTGTGCCACATGAGGAGTACCAGGTGGACCTGGAGGCTTAAATGGATACTCTGCTACAACAGAAGGAGAATTAGTGTAAGTGCTTTTCCCATACCGGTTTTCTGCACAAATACGGAACTGATATTCAGATCCAGTGATGAGTCGAGATACTTTAATTGATGTTCTTGCAACTGCTGCAGATACTACCTCCCATGTCGTTGTGGTAGTGTCTCTCTTCTCCACAATGTAATTGCTAATATGGCACCCACCATCATATTCTGGAGGTTTCCAAGACAATGTTACACTATCAGCACTAACTTCATCAATATGAACATCAGTTGGTGGCCCTGGTCTGTCAAGAACAACTACAGTTAAAGAAGCCGTTGTTGATCCGGCAGTATTTGAAAGATGTAATTCATAATGTCCCAAATCTTCATTTGAAGCTTCCTTGATGGACAGTGAAGTTGAAGTCTTTGATGTCTGAACATTTACCCTGGTTGTCTGTTTTAAGGGATTCCCATCCTTCTTCCAGCTAACAGTTGGAAGAGGTCGTCCTCTGAATGGAATATCGATCTTAAGATCATCTCCAGCTTTCACAGTGAATGTGTTGAAAAGGAGCTCAACAGATGGCTGGATTTCAATATCTTTTGCAATGACCGGGACACCAAGTTCTCTTGGATCACTTTTTCCTTTTTCATTAACAGCAATCACTCTGAAACTGTACTCTTCTCCCATACTTAAGCCTGTTATTGTTGCTTCTAATGTTTTCACCTGCGTGCATGCACTCCATTTTACACTTCCTTTAGTTTGCATTTCTACTACATAACCAGTAATTTTACTGCCACCATCGCTCTCTGGCTTTTCCCATTTAATTGAAACAGAGTTGCGAGTCACATCAACAAGCATGACCTTTGCAGGTGGAGAAGGTGGTTCAGACACCTTAATTGGGTCAGCTGTTTCTGCTGGTAAGCCAACCCCATATTCATTTACAGCTAGAACCCGGAAGTAATAACTACATCCTTCTTGTAGTTGAGTAATCTTGAAGGAATTCTTAGTGCAGTTGTTTGTAACTGTGGCATATGCCTTTCTTGTGGATTCTCGCTTTTCAACTACATAGTTGGTAATTTTAGCTCCACCATCAATAAGTGGTGGTTCCCAGGCTAAAGTTACAAAATCTTTTTTCACTTCTCTGATTGTCAGGTTTATAGGTGCACTAGGTGTATCAAGCACTCTGACATTAACAAAAGCTGATTTTTTGCCACTGTTGTTCTCTAATGTAAGATTGTATCTACCACTATCAAATCTATTGACATTGTCAATGACCAGCATTGTATAGGAACTGGTAACTTCAATCTGAGCTCGCTCACTAATTGTTCCTTCTGCTTTCTCCCATTTAACTTCAGGTTCTGGTCTTCCTTTGATGGTGACAAACAGGCGTAATGTACCACTAGCACGTACAGTGACTACTTTTCTGAGATCTGCATCAAGTTCAATTTCAGGAGGTTCAATCTTGTCCTCTGCTAAGACTGCACCAGGTATAGTAGCAGGTTCTCCTACTCCTTCTGAGTTGATGGCACAGATTCGGAAGTTATATTCCTGGTTCTCTTTTAGTTTGGTCACGGTGAACTGTTTTGCTTGTAGGCCTGTTGGTGGGGTGCAGGTAGTCCATTCATCAGCGGCGGCTTCTTTTACTTCTACTACATATCCCTTAACAGGAGCACCACCATCATAAATAGGCTTACTCCAGGCAAGGGAAACTGATGACCTGGAAGTATCTGTAACCTTTGGATTGGTGGGTGGACCTGGGGGATATAATACATCACAAGCACGATAGAAAATGGATGGCTCACTGGGTTCCCCTACCCCCGCAGCATTTTCAGCAGAAACTCTAAATTCATAGAAATGCCCATCAGTAAGACCTGTTACTCTGAATCGCAAGTCTGTCAGCCTTTTCTTATTGCATTTGGTCCACCGGATACCATCTTTGTCTCGTTTTTCAAGTATGTAACCTTCAATTTCAGCTCCTCCATTGTCTTCTGGGCGACCCCATGTCACCACCATAGAATCTTTCGTGATTGCTGAAACTTCAGGTGTTGAAGGAGGACCAGGGGGTTTGTATGGATTACGAGCCACAATTGGTTCAGATTCCAAGGGCTCTCCAATTCCGTATTTATTCACTGCCATTACACGGAAAATGTACTCATTGCCAGGAAGGAGTCTGGTTACTTTGAGGTTAAGAGCCTGCACATCTGTTGCTACTTGTGTCCATGAAAGTCTGCTTGTCTCTCTCTTCTCAATGATATAATGTGAAATATTAGAACCACCATCCTGTAATGGTGGAGCCCATGACAAGTAGCATTTTTCTGCAGTGACACCTGTAACCTTCAAAGGTCCTTCTGGAGGTCCTGGTCTGTCAAGCACTTTTACAGTGATTGGTATAGATTTGGTGCCACCAACATTTTTGAGGTTAAGAGTATAGTGACCTCCATCTACTCTTATACAGTCTTTGACAGTGAGAGTTGTTTTCTGAATGGTAGATTTAATTTCCATTCTTGCAGTTGCTTCTTCAAGGTCTTTACCATCTTTTGACCATGAAATGTCAGGAATAGGTTTGCCATGGATATCAGCTTCAAGAACAAAGGTTTCTCCAGCATGAACAACAATGACATCTCTGTATTTAGGATCCAATGAAGCCCCTGGTGCTTCAATTTCATCTCTGGCAGTAATGGGCCCTGTACTTTCAGATGGTTCACTCAAGCAACCTGCTGCATTTCTTGCAATTACTCTAAATTCATATCGTTGGTTTTCGACAAGACCACTTACTGTAAATTCTGTTTCCAACACATTTGTAAAGCTGGCTTTCATCCAGCGACCATCTGGTAGTTCTTTCTTTTCTACAATATAACCAGTTATTTTGCTTCCACCATCATATTCTGGTTTTTTCCACTGCAGTGTAATATTACTTCTTGTAACAACAATGGCATCTGGGCGGCCAGGTGGGTCACAAGGATCTCGGGCAACATACAGTTCTGATACTTTGCTGACTTTGCCAATGCCAACAATGTTTTCAGCAGAAACTCTGAACTCATATTCAAGACCTTCTTCAAGACCATCTGTTTTATATTTGGTGTCGGTAATGAGTGACTTGTTCTGTTTTGTCCAAAGTATGCTGTTCTTATCTTTACGCTCAAGATGGTAGCCAAGAACTTTGCTTCCTCCATCATTAACTGGTTCATGCCACTGTACAATCATATGGTCTTTGGAAGTTGCTGTTACAAATGGGGTTCCAGGTGGTCCAGGCACCTTGTAGGGGTATTGCACAACAATTGGTTTAGAAGCCAAAGGAGAGCTCTTTCCATATCTATTTTCAGCAGTAATCCTGAACTGGTATTCAGTACCTGTTTTAAGCTTTGTTGCTTTGATAGTTGTTCTTGCAACAGTTGCTGACACAATGCTCCATGTGGTAGTGCTTGTGTCACGCTTTTCTACTATATAGTTGCTTATCTGACAGCCGCCAGTATAATCAGGTGGATCCCATGATAAAACAACAAAGTCTGCACTAACTTCGTCAAATCGGACAGGTCCCCGTGGTGGGCCAGGCTTTTCCAGTACAATTATGCTCAGATGCTCTGTTGCTGTACCTGCTGCATTTGTTGCTGTTACTGTATATTTACCAAAGTCTTCCTTGTTGCTTTCTTTAATATGTAGGATCGTTGATGTTGTTGTATCCTGAATATTTAATCTGGTTGTCTGTTTCAGTGGTTGCTCATCTTTTGTCCAAGTAATAGTAGGTTTGGGTCTACCTATAAATGGTACTTCTACTTTTAGATCTTCTCCAGCTTGTACACTGTATGTATTAAACATCAGTTTGAAACTTGGCTCAATTGTCAAGTCTTTAGCTATCACAGGAATTCCAAGTGCTCTAGGATCACTTTTTCCTTTTTCATTGTAGGCAATCACACGGAATTGATATTCCTGTCCTGGACTCAAACCAGACACCACTGCATTGCATGTTTTGGACTCACTAACAACACTCCATTTTTCTGTTCCTTTAGGCAGCATTTCAACAATGTATCCCAAAATTCTGCTACCTCCATCATGTTCAGGTTTTTCCCATGTAAGTGATGCACTTCTCTGAGTCACATCAGTGAGTAATACTTTCCCAGGAGGCAGAGGTGGCTCTGAGGCTTTGACAGCATCCCTGGTTTCAGCTGGAACACCAATTCCAAATTCATTTTCAGCCATAACTCTGAAGTAATAAATTGCTCCTTCTGTAAGATTTTCAACTTTAAAACTTGTCTTACCACACTTAGCACTTACATTTGCAAATGCCTTCCTGGTTGACTCACGTTTGTCTATTACATAATTCTTTACCTTTGCACCACCATCAATAATGGGCGGTTCCCAAGATAATACAGCAGAATCCTTCTTTATATCCTTTACCACTAAGTTTTGTGGTGGTCCTGGTGTGTCCAAGACTTTAACTGTAACAAATGCAGACTTAGAACCACTGCTGTTCTCCAACTTAAGAATATACTTTCCAGCATCATTTCTATCACAGTTGTCAATTGAAAGTTGTGTGAAATTTATGCCTTTATCAATCTGAACTTTTTCTGTGAATTCACCTTCTTCTCGGGACCATGAGATGTCTGGTGTTGGTCGTCCCCTAAATGGTATGTGAATCCTAGCAGACCCACCAGCTCTAACCACTATACCCTTCCTTAGCTCTGAATCAATATCAAGTTCTGGAGCTTCAAGTTTGTCTTCTGGTTTAATAGTGCCAGGAACTGATGCAGCCTCTCCTACACCAATCTTGTTGAGAGCACAGACTCGTAATTTGTATTCTTGATGTTCAGTAAGCTTTTTGATTTCAAATCGAGTGGCACGTATACCTGTTTGTGGTGTAACAAGTGACCATTCATCTTCATCTGCCTTACAGATTTCTACAAGGTATCCCTGGATTTCACAACCACCATCATAAATAGGTTTACTCCAACCAAGTAGAACTGAACTTTTGGTGGTATCCACAACATGGGTATTTGTTGGAGGGCCAGGCTTGAACATTGGGTCACAAGCTTTAAAGTAAGGAGAAACTTGGCTTGGTTCACCCACTCCAGCAGCATTTTCAGCAGAAACTCTAAATTCATATTCATGATCCTCTGTTAATCCTGTAACTCTTAATCGCAAATCTGTAATTCGCCGTTTATTGCATTTTATCCATCTGATGCCTGCTCGGTCTCTCTTTTCTACAATGTAACCTACAATTTCACTACCACCATCACTATCTGGACGGGTCCAGCAGACAGTCATAGAATCCTTTGTGATGTTGGTAATTTCCAAGGCCTTTGGTGGTCCAGGAACCACAAATGGATTTTTCATCATCACTGGCACAGATTCTAATGGCTCCCCAACCCCATATTTGTTAACTGCCATAATGCGGAAGACATACTCATTTCCTTCCAAGAGTTTTGTTACTTTCAGCATTGTAGGTAAAACCTCTGAAGCAACCACAGTCCATGCCAAGCGACTAGTTTCTCTCTTCTCTACAATATAATGAGAAATATCACTGCCACCATCATGAAGAGGAGGAGCCCACGCCAATGCACATTTTTCAGCTGTGACTCCTGTCACTTGGACTGGACCCTCTGGAGGTCCTGGCCTGTCCAGGACTTTTACGTTTACTGTTACTGCCTTTGTTCCAGCAACATTAGAGGCTTCTAAAATGTACTGTCCACCATCAACTCTAATAGCATCTTTTACAACTATTAATGCACTGAAATCTGTGTTCTTTATTTCACATCTAGAAGTTTCTTCAAGCTCTTTATCTCCTTTGTACCACTTAATGGTTGGTAGTGGCTTTCCGTGAACATCAGCCTCAAGTCTGAATGTTTCACCAGCATTTACAACAATTGTGTCTTTGTACTTTGGATCCATTGAAATTCGTGGAAGTTCAACTTCATCCCTTGCTGTTATTGGACCTGTACTGTCAGAAGGTTTGCTTATTGCACCTGCAGCATTCTTTGCAATTACTCTAAATTCATATCTTTGGTCTTCAGTAAGCCCTGTTACAGTGAACTGAGTTTCAATGATATTTGTGAAGCTGGCTTTCATCCAGCGACCATCTGGTAAGTCACGTTTCTCTACAATATAACCAGTAATCTTACTTCCACCATCATATTCTGGTTTGGTCCATTGTAGAGTAATAGAGCTTCTTTTTATTATTATAGCTTCTGGGCGACCTGGAGGATCACATGGATCACGAGCTACATAGCACTCAGAAACTTTACTTGTTCTGCCTACACCAACAATATTTTCTGCAGAAACTCGAAACTCATATTCAATTCCTTCTTCAAGGTTATTTGTCTTAAAACTTGTGTCCTGAATAATAGTCTTGTTCACTTTAGTCCATAAAATGCTGTTTTTCTCCTTTCTCTCAAGATGGTAGCCCAACACTCTACTGCCACCATCATTTACTGGTTCATGCCACTGTACAACCATGGAGTCTTTTGTAACCGTTGTCACAAATGGTGTGCCAGGAGGTCCTGGTTCCTTGTAGGGGTACTGTGCTACAACTGGTGCAGAGTCCAATGCAAAACTCTGCCCATACCTGTTCTCAGCAAATATTCTGAACTGGTATTCTGAACCAGTTTTCAGTTTAGTCACTTTCAGTGTAGTTCTTGCAACAGTAGCTGAAACTGTTTCCCATACAGTGGTTGTTGTATCTCTCTTGTGAACAACATAGTTGGTGATTTGGCAGCCTCCTGTGTACGCTGGGGGATTCCATGACAGGGTAATACTTTCTGCACTTATTTCATCAAACTTCACAGGCCCTACTGGAGGGTCAGGTTTGTCTAGAGTTATAATGTCAATAGAGGCAGACTTTTGCCCAACAACATTAGCCACAGTGATTTCATAAGTGCCACTGTCCTCTTTGCTAGTTTCCTTAAGATTCAGTATAGTGAGATCAGTTGAATCACTTACATTGATTCTTGTTGTCTGCCTTAATGGCTGGCCATCTTTTACCCAGGTAACAGTTGGTTTAGGTCGACCTGCAATTGGTATTTCTACTTTCAGATCTTGTCCCACTTGAACACTGTAACTGTGAAAAGCAGGTCTAACATCAGGTTCAATCACTAGGTCTTTGGCAACTATTGGAACTGCAAGTGCTCTAGGATCACTCTTACCCTTTTCATTTACAGCCATTACTCTAAAAAGATATTCTTCCCCTTGAGTTAGGTTAGTAATAACTGCTTCAAGTGTTTTTACACGAGCACACTCTGACCACTTCTCACTACCCTTTGCTTGCATTTCAACAATGTATTGTATGATTTTGCTACCACCATCATGTTCAGGTTTTGCCCAGCTTAGTGAGACACTGTTTCTTGTGACATCATCCACTGTTATTTTCCCAGGAGGCTGTGGAACTTCAGCAACTTTAATTGGGTCACTAGTTTCTGCAGGGAGGCCAATTCCATATTCATTCTCAGCAGAAATTCTAAAGAAGTAATAGCAGCCCTCCTGAAGTTGATCTACTTTCCATGAAGTCTTGTGGCAGTTGGTTACAACAGCTGCATATGCCTTTCTTGTTGCTTCACGCTTTTCAATAATGAAATTCTTTATTTTTGCTCCACCATCCAAGAGAGGAGGCTCCCATGAAAGTGAAACAGAGTCTTTAGTGATCTCTCTGATCTTTAAATTAACAGGTGCACTCGGGGTATCCAGTACTCTTACGCTGACAAAGGCAGACTTTGTTCCACTGCTGTTTTCCAAGGTCAGAGTGTACTTTCCAGTATCAAATCTGTTAACATTGTCTAGAACAAGGGAAGTGAAGCTGCTAGTGGTATCAATAATAGCTGCTTCTCTGATGTCACCATCCACTTTACCCCATTTTACTTCAGGTGTTGGACGACCTCTGATGGGAACAAACAATCTTAAGGAACCTCCTGCCCTCACATTTACAACCTTCCTTAATTCCATGTCAAGGTCAAGGTCTGGTGCCTCCATCTTTTCTTCTACAATAACAGAACCAGGAACATCTGCGTGCTCTCCAACTCCTGCTTTATTAACTGCACATATGCGGAATTTGTACTCATGTTTTTCCACTAATTTTTCTACTTCCATGTGGGTATTCTTAATTCCAGTTGCAGGAGTACAAATTTTCCATTCACCATCACTTACATCACATTTTTCCACAATGTATCCCTGAATTTCAGAGCCACCATCATAGATAGGTTTACCCCACGAAAGGAAAACTGAAGATCTTGTAACATCCACAACTTTAGGATTATTGGGTGGACCTGGCTTGTAAATAGGATCACATGCTTTGTAGTAAGTGGACGGTGGGCTTGGTTCACTAAGACCAGCAGCATTTTCAGCTGAAACTCTGTACTCATAATCATGATTTTCTATAAGACCAGTCACTCTGTATCGTAGTTCACTGACCAGGCGTTTGTTACATCTTGTCCAGCGAATACCTTCCTTATCTCGTTTTTCAAGAACGTAACCTAGGATTTCACTACCACCATCTGAGGCTGGCCTTTCCCATACAACTATCATAGAATCCTTGGTAACGGCTGTGACTTCTGGTGCCTTTGGTGGAAGTGGCACTGAAAATGGGTTCTTTGCGAGTACTGGTTCAGATTCAAGGGGTTCACCAACACCATATTTATTTACTGCCATGATGCGGAAAACATACTCATTCCCTTCTAAAAGTTTTGTAACTTTGCAATTTAGGGTTTGCACATTTGAGTCAACGATAGTCCACACCAAGCGACTGGTTTCCCTTTTTTCTACAATGTAGTGTGAAATGTCACTACCACCATCTTGTAGCGGTGGTTTCCATGACAATGTGCATTTTTCAGCAGTAACACCGGTAATCTCAACAGGTCCTTCTGGTGGTCCAGGTCTATCAAGAACTTTGACGTTAACAGGAACCTTCTTTTCACCTGCAACGTTCTTTGCCAGTAGGACATACTGACCACTGTCAACTCTTGTGGCTTCCTTCACACTAAGGCTTGTTGCAAAATCGGTGCTTTTTATTTCCATGCGAGCAGTGCTTGTCAGCTCATGATCGCCTTTTAACCACTGAATGGAAGGTATTGGTTTGCCATGAACATCAGCATCAAGCTTGAATGACTCACCAGCATTCACTACAATAGTGTCTTTGTATTTTGGATCCATACTTATATGGGGTGGTTCTACTTCATCTCTTGCTGTAATTGCCCCTGAGCTCTCAGACGGTTCACTGAAAACACCTGCAGCATTTCGTGCTATAACACGGAACTCATATCTCTGGTTTTCAACTAGACCAGTTACTTCAAATTGAGTATCAATGACATTTGTAAAACTTGCTTTCATCCAACGGCCATCAGGTAATTCCTTCTTTTCAACAACATAGCCTGTGATCTTACTTCCACCATCATATATAGGTTTCTTCCACTGAAGTGTTACTGAGCTTCTTGTGACAATTACAGGTTCTGGACGACCTGGAGGGTCACATGGATCACGTGCAGTATAGCATTCAGATCCTCTACTTGCCTTTCCAATTCCCACTATGTTTTCTGCATAGACTCTGAACTCATATTCAAGACCTTCCTCAAGACCAGTTGTCTTAAATTTGGTATCTGGAATAGGTGTTTTATTCAGTTTAGCCCACAGAATGCTGTTTCTTTCTTTACGCTCCAAATGATACCCAATGATCCTGCTACCACCATCATTGACTGGTTCATTCCATTGTACCACCATGCTGTCTTTTGAGATATTTGTTACAAAAGGTGTTCCAGGTGGACCGGGAACTTTAAATGGGTATTGGGCTATGATTGACTCTGAAGTGAGATATGTACTCTTCCCATATCTGTTTTCAGCTGCGATTCTGAACTGATATTCACAACCAGTCTTTAAACGACATGCTTTTATAGTTGTTCTTGCAACTGTAGCTGACACAATGTGCCAAGTTGTGGTAGAAGTGTCTCTTCTCTCTACAATGTAATTATTGATAGAGCTACCACCATCATACTTGGGTGGTTCCCAGGAAATGGTAATACTATCTGCTGTTACTTCATCTACTTTTACTGGTCCGGTTGGAGGTCCTGGTTTGTCAAGGACAACAATATTTAGGGTCTCAGTTGCTTCACCAGCAGAGTTTGTAAGTTTAACTAAATATGTCCCCACATCTTCTCTGCAGGCTTCTTTTATTGTTAACACTGTGTTGTTTTCTGAACTTTCTGCATTTATTCTTGTAGTCTGCTTCAATGCCACATTGTCTTTATGCCAAAGCACTGCTGGTTTGGGTCGACCAACAAAAGGAACATCAACCTTTAAGTCCTCTCCTGCTAGAACACTGAAAGTGGTAAATAGTAGTTTGAAAGCTGGTGGAATTACAAGATCTTTTGCAACAACTGGTATACCCAGCTGGCGAGGATCACTGATACCTTTCTCATTCTGAGCTGAAACACGGAAGGTGTATTCTTCACCTTGGATCAGTCCTGTGATGGTGGCTTCAGTAACTTTTACTGTAGCACAGGTTGACCACTTTTCACTGCCTTTGCTTTGCATTTCTACAATGTAGCCCAAAATTCTGCTACCACCATCATGTTCAGGTTTTTCCCAAGATAAGGATACGCTATTTCTCGTCACATCCAACAAAGTTATTTTCCCTGGTGGAAGTGGTCTTTCTGATACTTTCACGGATTCTGAAGTTTCAACTGGAAGGCCTATTCCATACTCATTTTCAGCTAGGACTCTGAAGTAGTAGTTGCAGCCTTCTTGCAGTGAATCAACTTTCCAGCTGGTCTTGTGGCAATTGGCATTAACAGTTGAATAAGCTTTTCTTGTCGATTCACGTTTTTCAACAATGTAATTTTTTATTTTAGAGCCACCATCTATAAGAGGAGGTTCCCATGTGAGTGTAACTGAAGATTTTGTAACTTCTTTTATTTTCAAATCTTGAGGTGCTCCTGGGGTATCAAGAACTCTGACATTCACAAATGCTGACTTACTACCTGAGCTGTTTTCAACTGTCAGTATGTATTTGCCACTATCAAATCTATTTACATTTTCAATGATAAGTAAAGTATAAGAGCTTGTTGATTCAATGCTAGCTCTATCCAAAGATTCCTCATGTTCTCTTGCCCATTTTACTTCAGGTGCTGGTCTTCCCTTAATTGGGACAAAGAGCCTTAGAGTACAGCAGGCTCTAATAGTGACAACTTTACGTAGTTCTGCATCAAGTTCAATCTCTGGAGGTAGCATTCTTTCTTCAGCTTTTGGAGTCCCAGGAACAAGAGCAGGTTCTCCAAGACCTTCAGAGTTCATAGCATATATTCTTATTTTATACTCTTGATTTTCTTTCAGATCAGTGATAGTAAAAGAAGTGGCCTTTAGACCTATTGGTGGAGTTACAATTTTCCACTCATCTTCTTCAGGTAGTGCAATCTCAACCATGTAACCTGTGATCTCTGAACCACCATCATATATTGGTTTGTTCCATGCTATTGTAATTGAGGACTTGCTGCTATCCAAAACACGAGGATTACCTGGGGGACCAGGCTTAAATACAGTATCACAAGCTTTATAGAATGGACTGGTTGGGCTTGGCTCACTGACTCCAGCAGCATTTTCAGCCATGACTCTGTATTCATATTCATGGCCTTCTGTTAGTCCAGACACTTTATAGCGTAAGTCAGTAACAACCCTTTTGTTACATTTCACCCACCGTAGACCAGCCCTGTCTCGACGTTCCACAATATAGTTAGTTATTGGGCTCCCACCATCAGAATCAGGATGGCCCCAACAGACAACCATGGAATCTTTTGTAATTGCTGTAACTTCAGGTGTTTTAGGTGGATCAGGTGGCACATATGGATTCACTGCAAGAACAGGTTCTGATTCTAGAGGCTCACCAACTCCATACTTGTTAACAGCCATAACTCGGAACACATACTCATTGCCCTTCAGCAACTTAGTAACCTTCAGTTTAGTCACTGGAACTTCTGTGGCTACAGCTGTCCATGCCAATCTACTGGTTTCTCGTTTTTCAACCACATAATGGTCAATCTTTGCTCCTCCGTCATCCAGTGGGGGTAGCCATGACAGCACACACTTTTCTGCAGTGACTTCAGACACAGCCAAAGGCCCTTCTGGGGGACCAGGTCTATCAAGAACTTTAACATTGAAGATATGCTTAGCAAAGCCACCAGGATTTGTTGCAGTAAGTGTATAAGCACCACCGTCTCTTCTTGAGGAATCCTTATTGATAAGTACGGTAGAGAAATCTGCCATTTTTATTTCTAATTTTGCTGTGTCTTCAAGTTCTTTTTCTCCCTTTGTCCATGTCATAGTTGGTGGAGGGCGACCTGAAACATCAGCCTCAAGTCTGAAAAGTTCACCTGCTTTCAGCACTATGGTGTCTTTGTATTTAGCATCCACTTTTATCCTTGGTGCTTCAATGTCATCTCTACAAGTGATTGCATCTGATGGCTCAGAGGGCTGACTAACAGCTCCACCAGCATTCCTAGCAATCACACGGAATTCATAGGCAGCGTCTTCTGTCAAACCACTCACAGTGAATTCAGTCTCTAGTATATTGCTGAAATTAGCCTTCAGCCAACGGCCATTAGGAAGGTCTCTTTTTTCAACGGTATAGCCAGTTATCTTAAAACCTCCATTATATTCTGGTTTAGTCCACTTCAGTGTAACTGCATGTCTTGTAATGTTCAGAGGTATTGGCTTACCAGGTGGATCTATTGGGTCCAGGGCAAACACAGGCTCAGATGGCTTGCTTGGCTTACTCTTCCCAGCTAGATTTTCTGCTATAACACGGAATTCATATGCAATGCCATCGGTAAGCCCAGATGATTTAAAGATATTGCCTGATACCAGCATTTTACTTACAGTCTGCCAAAGTATGCTGTTTCTCTCTTTTCTTTCAACATGATATCCCAGTATAGGGCTTCCACCATCAGTAACTGGCTCATTCCAGCTAATGGTCATAGTTTCTTTGGTGACTGCTATCACCTGAGGAGTGCCAGGAGGCCCAGGTACCTTAAATGGGTAGTTGGCAACTACAGACCCTGACGTAATGGCTGGACCAATTCCATATCTGTTTTGAGCTCTAACACGGAACTGATATTCAACTCCAGTGGTAAGACGAACAGCTTTAAATGTAGTACGTATCACTGTAGTTGCCAATTCAGTCCATGTGGTACTGTCAGTTTGACGCATTTCTACAACATAGTTACTTATTGGTACACCACCATCATTCAAAGGAGGCTCCCATGAGAATGTCAGGAAGTCAGATGAAATTTCATCAAATTTGATTGGTCCAGTAGGAGGCCCAGGTATGTCATGAACCTGAACTGTGATTACTTCACTAACTTCTCCAACAATATTTTTGGCTGACAGTGGGTATTGACCACTATCACTTCGAATACATTCATTGATGGTTAGTATGGTTGCAGTTGCAGTATTTTCATAATTTACTCTTTGTGTTTGCTTAAGTATCTGGTCTTCTTTCTTCCAGGTCACAGTAGGCCTTGGACGACCAAGTACGGGGATTTCAATCTTGATATTGTCACCAGCTTTGGCAATGACTGTTTTCTGGTAGATAGCACGGAGGTCAAACTCTGGGAGCATAGTTTGCTCCTTGATAATAACTGGTCTGCTTTCTCTTGGGGGGCTTCTTCCAGCACTGTTAACTGCCATAACCTGGAAAGTATACTCTTCATTTTCAGTTAGATTCTTTACTACGCAGTCCAGTGTTTTTACAGTGGTGATGTGTGCCCACTGGTTGGTTCCTTTTCTCTGTGCTTCAATTACATACCCAGTGATCTTGCTGCCACCATCGTGTTCTGGTTTTGGCCAAGCCAGGCTAACTGAGTTCCGTGTTACATCCATAATATTAAGGCTCTCAGGTGGGGATGGTGCCTCAGAAGCTCTCACTGGTTCTGCAGTTTCAGCTGGTTCACCAATACCATACTCATTTTCAGCCAGTACTCTGAAATAGTATTCACATCCTTCAGCCAAATTAGGAATCCTGAAGGAACACTTCTGGCAGTTGGTTGTGACTGTTGAATATGCCTTCCGAGTTGATTCACGTTTCTCAACAATATAGTTTGTTATACGGGAACCTCCATCTACCAGAGGCATATCCCATTGGAGGGTGATGCTGTCCTTGGTTACTTCTCTAGGCTTAAGGTTTATTGGTGGACCTGGTGTATCCAAAACTTTTACATTAACAAAGCCAGTCTTCTTACCAGCAGCATTTTCAAGAGTCATTACGTATTTTCCTGCATCATATCTGGTGCACTCTGTGACAATCAACAGTGTAAAGGAATCAGTATTTTCAATACTGGCACGTCCTTTGAGTGAAACATCATCTTTTGTCCATGTAACTTCTGGAGTTGGACGCCCTTTAATTGGTACAAAAATTCGAATAGTTAATCCAGCTCTAACAACAAGAGTTCTTCTTAACTCAGCATCTAATTCAAAGTCAGGAATCTCTTCTCGGTCTTTGATTTCCACACTTGGAATTATTGCTGGTTCACCGACACCTGCAGCATTCATAGCAGAGATTCTGAAATTGTATTTGGCTCCTGTCTGCAGATGAGCTACAACAAACTGAGTGATTCTTAAAGCAGTCCCTATAGTGTCTTTTACCCATTCTTCTTCTCCTTCCTTTTGATGCTCTACTATATAGCCAGTGATGTCAAGACCACCATCATAGTGAGGCTTGCCCCAGGCTAAAGATGCACTTGTCTTTGTAGTATCAGTCACTCTTGGATTTGCAGGCGGACCTGGTGGATCTGAAAAGCAAGGAAAAGATAAAACATTACATCACAGAGGAGGCCATTCTTACGCTCTCTGAATGTGCTCCCCACCTATTCCACCCACCCCCAAAAAAGAAAAGGCATGATACTAACATGCAACATCTTTGCATAGGACTGAGTTTGAAGTGTCACTTGGTGGTCCAACTCCTGCTCTGTTTTCTGCACTGACACGGAATTCATATTCATTTCCTTCCAGAAGACCAGTTACTTTGCATCTAAGATCTGAAACTGGTTTCTTTGTTGCTCTAACCCATCTTAAACCTTTCTTTTCTCTCCGCTCCACGTGGTAACCTGTGATTTCACTTCCACCATCATCGACTGGCCTTTTCCAGGTAACTGTGGCAGTATTTTTAGTCACATTTGTTACTTCTGGTTTACCAGGAGGGCCTGGAGGACCTGTTAAGGAAGAAAAATTATAGTTAAACCAAAAATCAATTCTTTAGAGATTAATAAAAACTCACTGGAACCTCTTAGCTTGTTTTACTTACCAAATCTATCCACCATTTTAACTGGTTCTGATTGCACTGGTTCACCCTTGCCATATTGATTTACTGCTGAGACACGGAAAACATATTCATTTCCTTGAATGAGCTTGCTAACAACATGCCTACAGGTTTCAATATTTTCAGCAACCAGTGTCCAGAGCAGTCGACTAGTTTCTCTCTTTTCAAGAACATATGATTTGACTGGTGATCCACCATCTTCTGCAGGAGGTGACCATGTAAGAGTTGCTTTTTCTGCTGAAACATTGCTGATCTCAATAGGCCCTGGCGGTCCTGGTATATCTAAAACTTTCACTTGTACACTCTCCTGCTTAGTACCAAAAGGATTGGTTGCAGTGATTGTGTATTCTCCAGAATCTTTTCTGGCTGCATATTTGACAGTTAGAGTAGAAGAAGTTGGTTTGGTTTCAATGTGCACAAGCTCTGAAGGTCTAAAATCTTTTCCAGCTTTTGACCAGGCTGAAGTTGGAGGTGGTTTTCCACGGATACTAATAGCAGACAGTGTAATGGTGTCTCCCGCTTTTACTGTTAAACCTTCTTTCAAGGGAGGATCCAGAACAATGGTTGGTGCCTCTGTCAAAAAAACACAGACAAAAAAAATCCTGATTGTTACAACAAGAACACAGGGAGATTTGGTATTAATTATTCAAATAAAATTCTACCTATTCAATGCCATCTACATACCATACTCATCCTTGCATATTATGGTTCCTGTGGATTCAGATGGAGGACTGATAGCTCCAGCTGTGTTCTTTGCTCTAATTCTGAACTCATATTTGGAGCCTTCAATAAGGTCAGTTACAGTAAATGCACAGTCAGGAACATTCACGTGATTAGCTTTTGTCCAAGTCTTTTTTGGTAAATCACGCTTTTCAACAATATAGCCAGTTAATTTATGTCCACCATCATATTTCGGTTCTGTCCAAATGAGTGTTACTGAGTTCCTGGTTACATTGATAACTTCAGGTTTCCCAGGGGGATCTAGAAGAAAACATAATAAAAAGTGGTCAAACGAAAGTTATTTCAAATTTCAGAATTTTCCTTTTTATTCTGCTGATAACTTACCAATAGGATCAAGTGCCACAACTGGTTCAGATGGAAGACTTGGTTTACCTACTCCAGCCATATTGATTGCCATTACTCTGAATTCATATTCCAGACCTTCAGTTAACCCTGTCACTCTGAAATCTTTCATTCTTATTGGTGTTGTATTTGCTCTCTTCCACAGAAGACTATTCCTTTCTTTAACTTCAATGTGATAACCTAGAAGATAAATGATGAGATGAAAATATGGGGGAGGTTTCTAGAAATCTTAATTTCTCATGGCATTGTGAAACATTGTATGTTACATAGGCATTGTGCAAGAGGAGCACTGAAAACCAGATTAAGAAATGGATGTGGACATACATGACAGATGTATGTAATTGCAATGACAACGTTTGTAAATGCAAATTGCTAATTTTATGGACCCAAGTATTGTCACATATAGTTCTTTTGTTAGATGTTTTGTCTCTGAGCAAAAATATTGTTCCTCAGGTAGTATTTTCACAATGTTTAATTTTTTTAATCATATTGAAAAAACAGGAAGCAAAACAGTGAAATCAATCAATTGATCAATCAATCGATCAATCAATCACTCAATTCAAAGCATAAACACCTAATAGTTTTATCTTACCCTTTGACAGAGAGAAAGAACTGTTAAGAACTTAAATACTAGGGATGTTTTTGGGGATGTACCTGTGATTGGTGATCCTCCAGTTCTCCTGGGATCAGTCCAAGTTAAAGCTACAGATTCATGCTGAACAGCAACAATGTTGGGGGGTGGAGGAGCATCTGGCACATCTAAACAGTATTTAAAAAATACAGTAGCATTAAAATTAATATCACCCCTTTAACACTTTTTTCCAATTTCATAAATTATAATGGATACTTACCAAATGGATGTTTTGCAATGACAGGGTCAGATTTAAGACCTTCACCTACTCCATATTTATTTTCAGCCCTGATCCTGAATGTATATTCATTTCCTTCATGAAGTCTTGTAACTCTAAAAGTGGTTTTCTGGACTGCAGAGGCACAAGTCACCCACTTGTTGTTTACATTATCTCTCTTCTCTAGAACATAGTTAGTGATTTCTGAACCACCATCATCTTTTGGGGGGCCCCACTTCAAGGTTATGGCATCAGCTGTGACTTCTTCAAATTTCACTGGACCTGTTGGTATGCCAGGTTTGCCAACAACTTTCACAAAAATAGTGCCTTCCTTGCTGCCAACAACATTCTTCAGAGTTATTGTGTATTTTCCAGCATCAGCTTTCTGGCAGTCATGTACTACAAGAGTGGTGTTAACTGCTGTAGATTCAAATGCAACTCTTCCACTCTCAGTAAGTGCCTGGTCTTCATCCTTCTTCCAAGTTACAGTTGGGACAGGCTTGCCTTTCATAGGGATTTTAAGACGGAAATTGCTACCTTCTTTAGCAATATAGCACAAATCAGGTAGATCTCTTAAGTCAAGTTCAGGTGCCACTGTAAAAAATAAAGGAAACCAGTTATTCAACAATGCATGAACTTTGTGGTAAAATTAAGATCTGTTTTAAAGGTGTCTGATTTGTATGTCTGCATAGCAATGATAGTACATATAAAATAAATATAATTTGGGTAAGTGAAGCATTGAAATAATGATCTTGCTTCTCACCGACATCATCTCTTGCTACAATTGTGAGCTCTGATGGAGTTCCATATCCAGCATCATTCTGGGCTCTCACTCTGAAAGTGTATTCCTGTCCTTCTTTTAGGTCTCTCATTGAAAAATGGAGGTTCTTTCCCCGCATGACTTCTTGCCATTTATCTTCACCAACCAGGACCTCAACAACATATGCAATAATACGGCTTCCACCATCACTGATAGGTTTTTTCCATACCAAATTGCATGATGATTTTGTTACAGCTGAAGCTTTTAGATCCACAACTGGCCCAGGTGTTTCTAGAAGGAAGAAAATCATACTAAGTGTCCAGTCAAGCTAAAAATAAACATTATTTGAAAAAAAAATAGGTGAAGTGGATCCATTTTTCCTACCAGAAGCTTTAACAGCATCACGAGTTTCACAGGGATCGCCAATACCATATTCATTTTCAGCAAAAACTCTGAAGAAGTAAGATTTGCCTTCTTCTAAGTTAGTTATCCTGTAGCTTGTCTTTGGACATTCTGTTGTTACTGTGGACCATGATTTTCTTTCTGCGTCACGTTTTTCAACAACATAATTTTTGATTGGACTGCCCCCATCTATTAGAGGAGGTTCCCATGTAATGTAGGCAGAATCCTTAGATGCTTCCTTTACAATCAGGTTAACTGGAGGGCCTGGAGTATCTGCATAAACACAAGACCACCATATTTGATATAGTAATAAAATTTTAAAAAATCAGTTAAAAAGTCAACAAATATATTATAATGGGGAAAACCCTGAGACTTACCAAGTACTTTTACAACAATGGTGTACTCCTTTTTGCCACAGCTGTTCTCTAGACTGAGGACATATTTTCCAGCATCATATTTATTTACATTTTCACAACGCAGGAAGGTATCAAAATCAGTTGACTTGATATCTAATCCTTGTCTATCTCTTAGGTTGGCACCCACTTTAGACCATGTAATTTTTGGAGGTGGACGTCCTCTTACTGGCACATAAAGTCTCATTGTGACTCCAGCACGCAACACAAGGACTTTCCTTAGTTCTGCATCAAGTTCTCCTTCAGGTGGAACTGTGTGTTTAACAAAAAACCATATAATTAAAGCATCATCTTTAAGGCTATCACCAAAGTTACTGTTACAGAAAGTCCCTCTTTACTGGCTTTTCACTAGATTAACCAACTTCTCATGCCTGTGATAATGTTAGTAAGTGTCTTGATTCCTGTTTGAAGGTAATTTGCAAATTTGGCATTTTTTTGCAGTGATTTCACTTCCTTTTTTCCCTACCTTTTCCACCATTTATGTTAGAAAGTCTTCTAGTTTTTTTAGAACTCAAAGGAATTTCAAAGCCTCCTGGACTCTACTGCTTTTCTTGAACCAAGACAGTTCTGTGAAGCAATGCTTTGGTACATACAGCAAAATGCATACAAAACCCAGCATGGCTTTTAAGGAGTAAATGTCATACAATCAAATACTGTGTCACACAGCTGATTAGAATAGTAATCTTGGTTTCAAATTACTCAGAAGACCTGAAGATGACTGAAAGTTTTAAGAATAGAAAAGAGATCTTAAAAGTTTAATTTTAGAATTAGAGAAAGAAAGATATCCTGATGAACCCAAATAGGAGGCAGAAGGCTATAAAGCATACAAATAAAAAACCCAGACACTAGCCAAATTCTACTCTGTTCCTAACTGCCCTGTGCTCTTCCAAATTAGCTGCTTTTAGCCTGCATTTTTTGAGTAATAACGTTCCAAATTAATCTGCGCCCGTGATCTGTGACAAACTCTGTCTTTGGAACTCATCCCATGAATTAAAGTAAAAGTCAGCTAGGTAACTGGGTTTCAGTGAACATACTTAAAATGTCTTTGGCAGTGTGTTTATCAGGAACATCACTTGGGTCACTGTATCCAATCTTATTGACAGCATAAACACGGAACTGGTACTCTGTATCTTCCATCAGTCCTGTTACCACAAATTGCGTAGCTTGTAAATTCTTTGGTACATTGCATCTGACCCAGTTGTCTGTGTCAGCTCTTTTTGATTCCACTAGATAACCAATAATAGGGCTTCCTCCATCATATGCTGGTTTGCTCCATGACAGGCTTATTGAGTTACGAGTAGTATCAACCACTTTCGGGAAAGCAGGTGGGCCAGGAGGATCTGAGAATTAAAACAGCGTAAAGTTATTGTACAAAATGCTGTATGATAGTATTTGGAAATAATTATGGAAAATATCTGAGACTTTAAGCTTACATTGAGGATCACGAGCATACACTGCTTTAGATGGTGCGCTAGGCTTGCCAGGTCCAGCTTTATTCAGTGCTATCACCCGGTACTCATATTCAGTTCCTTCTTGGAGTCCCGTAGCTTTAACAGTTCTTTCAATGACAGGCTTTCTGTTTACCTTTGTCCAGTTAAGAGCCTTAGTTTCACGTTTCTCGAGGATATAACCAGTTATTGGGGATCCACCATCATCAGCTGGTGGCTTCCAGCTAACAGTCATAAAGTCTTTTGTTACATTGCTAATTACTGGTGGATCACAAGGTCCGGGTACATCTGTGGAGATTTATTTGAAAATTACGTTCACATTCATAAGCGCACACAAAAAACCAGTGACTAATGAAACTATCCCACAAAGCACTTACCATATGGATTCTTAGCAACTGCTGGTTCAGTCAAGATAGGGTCTCCAACACCGTATTTGTTTTCAGCACATATGCGGAACTGGTACTCATGTCCTTCTATTAGTTTCTCCACTGTGCAGCTTGTAATGGGTACATTGGCACTGACCTGGGCCCAGTTCGGTCTGCTTGTTTCACGCTTGTCTACAATGTAGTTAGTAATTTCTGAACCTCCATCTTCCAGAGGAGGCTCCCAAGAAAGCATTGCACGATCTGCATACATATGTTTGATTTTGACAGAAGCTGGTGGACCAGGCTTATCTAGAACAATTAACATCACATTATTATAGCTCTATCTCTTGCTATATAATTCAATCATAAAAGTATTTGTTAATTGACAGTCTTTAGCTTACCAAGTACTTTAAGCCTAATGGTTGCTGACTTTGATCCACTTGCATTTTCAGCAGTAATAGTGTAGTCTCCTGTTTGCTTCCTGTTAACACTGAACAACTCAACTGTAGCAAGATTTCTCTTAGTAGTGATCTTAACACCTTCAGATGGCTTTAAAACTTCTCCTTCTTTCTTCCAGGTGATTGTTGGCATCGGCTTGCCATATACATTTGCCTCCAGACGCACATTAGTTCCAGCTTTTACTGTAAGCTGTGATTGCATAGACAGATCCAACTCTATTCTGGGAGGAACTGAAAAGAAACAGTCCAAGGGTTAATCAATGTATTAAGATATAAACATCTCATTCTTGACATGAGATTTAGTTCAACATGCACAGACTCTTATCAGAGTTATCAAATGCTTTTACATTCCTTACCATTTTCTGGATGAATGGTCACCGGATCAGAAGGTTCTGAAGGTGGGCTGATGTTAACTGCTGTCTTGGCAATTGCTCTAAATTGATACTGAGCATTTTCTTCCAAACCAGTAGCAGTGTACTCTTCTAGGGGTATTTGATGTGGAGTTGTATTGCACCGAACCCACTTATCACCAGGTAATTTGCAAGCTTCCACAAAGTAGCCAATTAGTTTGCTACCACCATCATGCTTTGGTCTTGTCCATACCAGTGATGCAGTACTCTTAGTGACATCAATAACTTCAGGTTTTCCAGGGGGATCTAAGGCAAATGAAAACATTTTGTAGTCTGTTTTTCCAAAAAAGAGCTAACATATTAAAAAATGGCTTTAATAATGCTGCATCCTATTTACTGCATACCCACACAGTGCACTCACAGTAAAGTCATAGTAAGCATGAAAATATAAACAAAAGGGCAAACTGAAGATCATAAAGAGTGGCAGATATATTGAAAATGATCAGAGAAACAGTAGTTTGTATTGGTATGTTTGGCTTACCAACTGGTGCTCTTGCTGTGACAAACTCAGTTGGTTTACTAGGTTTACTTGCTCCAGCTCGGTTCAATGCATAAATTCTGAAAGCATACTCAAGACCTTCGATGAGCCCCACACAAGGGTATTCTGTGGAGCGCACAGCTGTATCATTAGCTTTCACCCACAGCAGACTGTTCCTTTCCTTGCGCTCAATGAGGTAACCAGTAATTGGACTGCCTCCATCACTGTCTGGCTTATCCCAAGCAACAAAAATGCAGTCCTTATTGACTTTGGTAATTCGTGCATTCTTTGGTTCACTAGGAACATCTAGAAAGAAATACAAAGATATATATCAACTGTATGGCTTCTTACTAGAAAGATTAAATAGAGAAACATTGCTAACAAAAACGAGCATACCAAATGGGAACCTTGCGATCATCTTGCCAGAAGCAAGCGGCTCAGAAATCCCAAAACGATTTTCAGCACGAACGCGGAACATATATTCCTCTCCAGGAATAAGTTTTCCAATTCTGCAGGTTGTCTTTGTGACAGAAGATAAAGCTGTTACCCAATCTCCGCGGCTTACATCACATTTCTCAACTACATAGTTTGTAATGTTACTGCCACCATCTTCAAGAGGTATGTGCCATGCAAGAGTGCAAGCATCAGCATCAATTTCAGAAATATCAAATGGAGGCTGTGGTGGACCTGGCTTATCTGTACAAAAAAAGTAGATTAAGAAAAAAGGGATGAAAGGAAATGGCAACCACTGGAATATACTAGAACTAGCTTTGTATAAAGCTGGGTTGAAAAACAATCAAATGGAACATACCCATGACTGTCACTCTGATTTTCTGACTATCAGTACCAGAGCTATTCTCTGCAGTAAGAGTGTAAAAATCAGAATCTTTTCTAGTCACATCCTTAATGATAAGAACAGAAGATTTTTCTGCTTTATGCACAGCCAGGCGACTGGATGTAACTACATCTTGATCTCCTTTCAACCATTTACAGACTGGCTGAGGTTTCCCATATACATGAGCTTCAATTCTCAGTTTCTTTCCAGCTTTAATGTGAATGTGATCAGGCATCAAAATCTTAGGTGGGACTGTAAAAAAAAAAAATCAGACATGTAAATTAAATTACTGTGATATATTAATTTACTTTTTCTTATTTTTTCACGTGAAACATCTCTGCTTCTCTCTCAAGAGTTTGGATTGCCTTCACACACATTTATGTAGAGATTTGTGCACTCTTAGTGCCTGAAATGTAATTCCTCTTTATATCTGGAACTTGTTGCTCACTTATTGGTGACTTTCTACAAGACAAACATGAAGGAGAAGAAAAGAAACACTGAAGTTCTGGACTCAACCCACTTGCAGAGTCAATCTTTTTGTATCTTTGAATTACTCTTCTCCTACTTCTTCTTTTGCACAAAAACTTTCAAGTTTCTTTCAAAAGAAACATGACAGCTTGTTTGGTGTAGTTTTCTTCCTGCCATTGTCTAGCTTTCATTCTCCTTTTCCTGTGTCTCTGCCTTTCTCTTCCCATGTCACAATGCCCTTACCCCTACGTCTCCTGTGCTTCAGGGACCCTGCCACTTTAAATAGGCCAACCTGTCCTCCCTGCCTTTTACTTTATATTCCCAATCAATTTCACAATATAAGCAACTTGTTTTCTCTTATATTAAAACAGGTGCCACTTTTCGCCCCATTTATCTCTAAAACTACCATTCTGACTCTTTTTCTCTTTCATTTTAAGTTCATCAAAGGAGTTTATTATTTCTCCCTAATTCCTACTTTCTAGTTTCAACTGAAGCCATACCTGAAGAATTATTTAATAATTCTGAATTAGTGGTTGTCTCATTCTTTCTGAGCTGTCAAAATATTCAGTACAGTAAACCTTCATCATCCAGATAACTTCATAAAGCATGTCTTTCTGTGAGTCAAAGAACTATAATTTTTCCTCATTTTATTATTAAAGCAGTATATTGCAACATAGGTAGTATTTAAATTGCTACTTACTGAGTTGTTCCTTAATTTCAAATGCTCCTGCAGCTTGTATTGGCAAACTTACTCCTACAGCATTTCTAGCTGCCACTCTGAAGTTGTACTTCTTTCCCTCCTTCAGACCAGCTACAACAATGGAGAGATCTTTGACAACAGAATACTCTGCCCAGCGATCCGCTGGTTGGTCATCTTCTTTGTAGCTAACAATGTACCCATCAATTTTAGAGCCTCCATCACGCAGTGGTGGCAGCCAGCCTAAAGTAGCACTATTCTTTGTAATTTCAGTAACTTCAAGTTTTCTTGGTGGATCAGGTTCACCTTTCAGGGCAAAAGAAAAAAAGAAACACATTGAACACTGAATTTCCAAGATGTTCTGGCTCTTGAGTATTTGTTGAATTATCAGATGCTAGCCATGCTAATTCAACAAGGACAATATAGAAAAGAGCAGAATTCTTAATAATTGCAAAGGTACTATATTCACAGACCATATTATTTTAAAGGAACTGGTACATGAATATTTCTGTTTATCATTGAGTAGTTAGTAGCACTGTCCAGTTTAGGAACAGTAGCTTTCAAGAAACACAAAATCTTATTAAAGTTAGCAAAAAACCATAAAATGTACATAAAGGCATACTTACTTAGAGGATCTGTTGCTAGAACTGGTTTTGGTATGTCACTTGGAACACCTGACCCATATTCATTGACTGCCGTCACTCTAAAATAATATTCATTTCCAGGCACAAGGTTTGCTATTTGGAAACTAGTTTTCTTTAGTTCTGCAGTGACTGTTGCCCAGGTCTTCCTGTCAGCCTCACGTTTCTGCAGGATGTAATGAGTCACGGGGCTACCCCCATCATTCTCTGGAGGTGCCCATGAAAGATGGCATGACATCTTGGTGACATCTGAAACCTTGAAGTCTGACACAGGTCCAGGAGTATCTATAAAGAAATTTCAATTTACGTTAGACTTTTCTTCTTGAAAAGTTGAAATTAAAGGAGTCTAACAGCTTTCTATATGGGGGGAGATAGTGTTAGCTGATACAGTTATGCTCAAAAACTGTAGGATCTGGGGGTCATAAATATTCCTGCAATGAACATTCAATATAGTTATAAAATTGTCTAGAGATATTTGTCTCATTACTTACCCAGGACTCTGACATTCACAAATACAGCCTTTTCTCCAGCTGCATTAACAAGTGTCAATGAATATTTGCCTGAGTCATCACGTGTTGAATCAGGAATGACACAGAAGGCCATAGTGTCAACCAGATCAACCTGTCCTTTTCTGATGACATTATCCACACCCATTCTCCTCCAGGTGACTTTTGGTGCTGGGCGGCCCCTAACAATGGCAAAAAGTCTAATAGGGCATCCTGCCCTGACTGTGACTAACTTTCTCATGCTTGCATCCAACTCAATCTCAGGAGGTTCTGAAAGACAAAATTAAAGAAATAAAATAAAAAGTTTAGTATGTGAATAAAGTAAACCTGAAGCAAATAAAGGTTGGATGTAAACACTGATAAAGTGGATGAGAAAACTCACCAAGAATTTCTTTGGGAGACACAGCTTCTTTCAGTTCAGCTGGCCGACCAAGGCCAACCTGGTTTTGGGCAGAAACTCTGAACTCATATAATTGCTTCTCATCCAGGCTGGTGGCTGTAAATTCTGTGTGAATAACTTGGGCAGCAACATTACATCGTTTCCATCCTGCTTCAGGATCAGCACCCTCAACTTTTGGTCTAATTTCCACAACATATCCAATAATTGGAGCACCACCATCGTACATTGGTTTTCCCCAGCCAAGAGTTATGGAAGTCTTTGTGCTATCAACCACTCTCAAGTTTGTGGGAGGACCAGGTGGTTCTGAAAGACAGAAAAAATTACAGATAAGAACACAGCTGTACAATTTAGTCATCTATCATGTTACATTAAAAAAAAATATAAAAATTCAATGGTATTATACCTATCGGGTCTTTGGCTACTACAGGTCTTGATGGCAAGCTTGGTTCTCCAAGTCCGACTTCATTTTCAGCACTGACGCGGAACTGATATTCATGACCAGGGAAGAGATTAGTAACCTTCTTGCGTCTCTCTGGGATTGCAGTCTTAGTAACAGGAACCCATCTCAGTGATCGTTTCTCTTTCTTCTCTAAAATGTATCCTGTAATTGATTTGCCACCATCATATTCTGGTGGATTCCAAACTACAGTCATCTCTTCTTTGCTAACTCTTGTGACATCCGGAGGGTCAGGGCGCCCAGGTCTATCATATTTTGTTTTTGCAATAATTGGGTGTGTTTCTGTTGGTGGACCAGTGCCCATTTTATTCTCTGCACGCACTCTGAATATATATTCATTACCTTCAATGAGGCGTGTCACTTTTGCATAGTTTGTTAGGACAGAAGAAGAGAATGTAGACCAAACCATACGCTTGCTTTCACATTTTTCCAGGATGTAGTTCTGTATTTCACAACCACCATCATCTTCTGGAGGGTCCCAAGTAACAGTACATCTATCACTTGAAATGTCAGTGACTTTTAAGTTTCTTACAGGACCAGGTTTATCCAAGACAATAACAGTAGCATACGCCACGAAGCTACCAGCTGTGTTAGTTGCAGTAATCACATATTTCCCACCATCACTACGCCTTGATTTTGTGACAACAAACTTTGATGTGTCAGAAGTTGTTTCAATACTGACTCTTGGAGATCTGGTGAGATCTGTGGCATCTTTGTCTTTTGTCCATACAACTTCAGGCTGTGGTTTTCCTCTGACTCCAGCCTCAATTCTAATTGTGTCACCTGCTTTCACAGTTAAAACCCCACTTAACTTCAAGTCTAGCACTGGTTTCTGCAGATCTTCCTTCACAACAACTTCAGCTGTTTTCACCCAGCCACTTTCACCAGCCTCATTCTTGGTTTGAACTCGGAATTGGTAAGTCTTATTTTCCACACATTTATCTACCATATAGTGTGTTTCCTTAATGCTGCCTTTGTGAACCCTTTCCCATTCATCTGAGTCTTTCAGTTTTCTCTCAACATGATAACTTAAATTGGGACTTCCACCATCATAATCTGGCCTTCTCCATTTCAGATATACAAATGTCTTCCCTTTCTCTGCAATGTGAAGATTTTCTGGTTCTCCAGGCTTGTCAATAGGATTGATGGCAAGGATGGGAGTCTTGGTCTCAATGCAAGGCCCTGGACCTATTTTGTTTTCTGCACAAACTCTGAAGAAGTATTCACGGTTCTCTACAAGATTTGCCTTTACTAATCGTTTAGTGATATCAGAGGAGACAATTGACCATCCCCTTTGATTTGGTTGACGGTACTCTACTATGTAATTTGTAATTTCAGAGCCACCATTATCCACTGGACTCTCCCAAGCAATCATACAAGAGTCTTTTGTGACATAGCTTATTTTCAGGTTCTGACATGGTCCAGGTCTGTCAAGTACATTAACAATAGCAAAAGCTTGAGCCTGTCCACAACTGTTCTTAGCTGCTATTATATATTTACCATGATCAGATCTTTTGGCTTCTTTCACTTGCAGTTCAACATTCGGTAGATCATGGAGTATTTCAACATGCTTTTCTTGGACTAGTACTTTGCCATCTTTAGACCACGTTATTTCAGGATCTGGCCTACCTTTTACCTTGCCAGTAATACGTATTGTTTGACCTACTCGGACAGTAATTAAATCTCGACAGGTCACATCTAGGCTTATTTCTGGAGGAGAAAGGATATCCTTTGCAAGTACAGTTTCTGCCAGTTCTCTTGGTTCTCCCTCTCCTACAATGTTGACAGCTTTTATTCGGAACTTATACTCATTTCCTTCTATTAATCCAGGTACTCTGAAAGCACACTGTCTAATGAGTTCATCCTTATTAATCCTATTCCACTGTGTAGTTCCAGTTTTCTGACATTCCACAATGTATCCCAGAATTGGGCTGCCACCATCTTTGAGCGGCTTTGTCCACACAAGATCAGCTGTTTCTTTAGTTTTGTCTTTTAATTTTGGATTTATAGGTGGTCCAGGAGGAGTGATTGGACGTGATGCTTTTATTGGATCAGAGCTTGGAGATGGTTTGCTTAAACCCACCATGTTTTCTGCAAAAACTCTGAATTCGTATGTGTTGCCTTCAAAAAGACCTGTGACTCTGTATTTCATATCAAGTATAGGTGTCTTATTGACACGCACCCATTTACCAGACGCTTCCCGACGTTCAAGTATATAACCAGTTATTGGAGTTCCACCATCAGATTTTGGTAGGGTCCAAGACACTGTTGCAGCATTTTCTGTAATATCATAAACAGTTGGTTTACCAGGTGGGGATGGTGGATCAAACATATATTTAGCAACTGTTGGTTCTGAATCAAGGGGTGCACCAATGCCTATCTTATTTTCTGCACGAACACGGAAAATATATTCACAGCCTTTCTGCAGTCGTGGAACCTTAATTTTTGTGTGACTTGTTCCAGAGCTAACCACTCCCCAAGTTTCTTTCTTTGATTGACGCTTCTCAACAATATAATTAATTATAGGACTCCCACCATCATCTTTGGGAGGGCGCCAAGAAATAACCATGTATTCTGGTGTTACTTCAAGAATATTAATAGGACCAGTTGGTGGGCCAGGAACATCCAAAACTGTAAGGTGTAGAGCCACAGTTTTGCTGCCAGCTGCATTAGATACTGTGAGTAGATATTCTCCTGTATCTTTTCTTACACAGTCTTTGATAGTAAGCACGGTTGAATAATTGTCAGTCTCAATCTTGTATTTGCCATCTGGTTTAATTTCAGTGTCATCAGTAACCCATTTTGCAGTGGGAACTGGTACACCTCTCATAATTGCTGGAAGTCGCACTGTGGTGCCAGCTTTAACAACAAGACCTTCAATTAACTTCACATCTAGTTCCACAGATGGAGGTACTGAAATGACAGAAAAACAGAAATTACCTTTTCAAGGGAAATGCATAAAGAAAGAGAGAAAGAATAAGTGAAACAACATGAAAAACCACAAATTACCTAGTTTTTCTTGACACTCTATTGGTATAGTTGTATCAGGAAGGCTGAGACCAACAATATTCTGAGCTCTCACACGGAATTTGTATATTTTTCCTTTTTGTAGGCCTGTAACAACACAGTCTAGCATAGGGACCGTCTGGAACTTTGTCCATTCATCTGCACCATCTTCTTGATATTCTACCAAATATCCAGTAATCTCAGCACCACCATCACGATCTGGTCGATCCCAAACAAGGGAAACTTCAGTCTTGTCAACATCTACGTGATGCAGATTCTTTGGTGGCCCTGGAGGATCTTTTAAAATAAAAACACAAAATGGTTACTAGGATGAAAAATCTATGGTATCAGTGTATCATGTTCACATTCATACCAACATGACAATCTCAAAAGTACCAATAACAATATTAAAAAAACAAATTATATAACTTAAAAACACTTACGCAGTGGATCTATAGCTTTAATAGGCTTAAGTGTTTCCACGTATGGACCTCTACCAAACTGATTTTCAGCTGCAACTCGGAATTGATACTGAGTGCCTTCCATCAGATATTTAGCCATATGACTGCGTTTCTTGGAGGATGATGAGATGGCTACCCACTGTGCAGAAGCTACATCTTTCCTTTCCACCACATAGTTGGTAATGACAGAGCCACCATCATCTTCTGGTTCCATCCAAGTGAGATAGCAAGAGTCGCTTCTAACATCACTGACTTTCAGATTTCTGGGTGGACCAGGCTTATCTAAAATTGATAAACATGAAATCTGTTATTTATTTGATAATCAAAGCATTTCTTATAAAGTTTAGTAAATTTCAAGATAAATTAATATATTTAATGTAATTTTTAGTCCTTTTTCTACTGTGTATTTTTTATAAAACTTTGTTTATTGATATTTTTCAGAAATTCCTTTATCTTTTAATCTCTATTTATAGAATAAGAAGATGTGGTATAAAAGGAACATCAAAAAGATTACCTAAGACCACGACTTTTACTGAAACAGTCTTTGAACCAGCTGGATTTTCAACTGTCAGGGAGTAAATTCCACCATCTTCATGGACCGTGTTACGAATTTCAAGCTTACTACCAACTCCTGTAACCTCAATATCAGCTTTGGGTGAGACTTCATGATCTCCTTTCTTCCAGGTGACTTTTGGGAATGGAACACCTTTAATAACAGCACTAAGTCGCAGGGTATCTCCAGCTTTTACATGCTGTTCTCGGGCCATATTAGCATCAAGTATCAACTCAGGAGGTTCTGGAATCAAAAAGATAAGTTTTGAGGAAAATGAGGGGAAAAAAAATGTTCTTAGGTAAATTTATCTGATTTTATTAAACTCACCAAGCCTGTCTTTTACTTCTACTGGATCACGAACGTGGGCTGGATCAGATTCACCTGCTGCATTGACTGCCTTCACCCTGAACTTATAGGTCAAACCCTCAGTAAGACCAGTGACTTTGTATTTTGTGTCAGGACAAGAATCTGCTGTAAGATTAGCCTGTTTCCATTCTTCATCTCCAACTTTCTGATACTCTATTAGGTAGCCAATTATCTTGCCATTTCCATCGTGGCGTGGTGGTTGCCAAGATAAATCAACTGAATTTTTAGTTTTATCTACTGCTTCTGGATTAACAGGTGGACTTGGTTTTGCTGTTAAAGAAGCAAAAAAAGAGAAACTATCAAAATCCTTTTCTAACTGAAATTAAGAGTGCATTAAAATTTCAATGAGAAATGAAATTTGATACTTTACTGATTGGATCTCTAGCGAAAATTGGCTTTGATGGTGGACTAGGATCACCAACACCAATTTCATTTTCTGCTGAAACACGGAATTCATATTCACAGCCTTCAAGGAGATCAGGTACTTTGAACTTTGTACTGGGGAAAATCGGGTCTTTGGTAGCTTTGACCCATCTTGTAGCCATTGTTTCCTTCTTTTCTACAATATAGTTTGTTATTGGCTTGCCTCCATCATACGGTTTGTTCCAAACCACTACTGCAGAGTCTTTGGTAACATCCTTAATGATTGGTTGCTCAGGTGCATCAGGAACACCTGGGGTGGGGAAAAAAAAAGAGTGTATAAGCATTACAAACAGAATAAAGATTAGAGCACTAAAGTAAGGTTGCAAATGAGAAACATACGGAAACGGTCCTTGGCTTTCATCTCATCAGAGATGAGAGGATCACTTATGCCATAAAGATTTTCAGCATAAATTCGAATTTGATATTCTCTTCCTTCAAGCAGCTTAGGAACTTTGCATGTTGTCTTCACTGTGGCAGATGTAACTGGCATCCACAGGTCTTTGTGTGTATCCTTCTTCTCAATAATGTAATTTGTGATTTCACTGCCTCCGTCATCTAATGGAGGTTTCCAGGAAACTACCATATGATCTTTATAGACTTCATCAAATATAACTGGGCCTACTGGAGGTGATGGGCGATCTGTTTAAGAAAAAATAAAGCATATCCATGCTTTTATATGAACTTCACATAACATCATAGATTAAAAAGTGTCAATACAGTAAATACAGTATAAAATGAGAAACCTGACATCACAGTTTTAATAAGGAATCAAGACCTCAGGACTATTCCTCCTTAATTTATATTTGACTCACTGGACTCAATTTCTTAATGCTTATAAAGTATTTGGTGATTAACATTTTCTACAGTGTTGATGGTCTCTAAATGCATTTAGAGACATTAAATTATTCATCGTGAATAAACTAATCCAGATTTAACTACGTACTCGAAATTAATAAGTAGCTTTTCAGTATAACTGAAAATGCAGTAAATCCAAATATTGTAATAAAGAACACATTTCACACATTCTACATTTTATATAATTCAATTACTTCAAATCACTAATAAATAACAGACAATACTGTTGTTCAGCAAAACCTACCAACAACATTCACTTGACAAAATCCTTTTCTTGCTCCTGTGCTGTTCTCTACAGTCACACAATATTTGCCTGTGTCTTCACGGACTGATTTTAGTATCCCTAAGCAAAGAGTTGTAGGAGTTGTCTTGATCTTTATACGGTCATCTTCTTTCACAACAATATCATCCTTTAGCCAAGTAACCTTTGGTGCAGGCTTGCCTGAGTAACGTCCAGTCAGGCTGAAAGCTTCACCAACTCGAACAATAAGTTTGTCTCTAAAGTCAAGGTCAAGTGTGGGAGGAGCTGAAAGACAATATTGAAAAACATGAATGCCCCAAAACGTCAGCAATATTAATAAGAAAAAGTAAAGAATCAGTAAATGTAAACACTGTTTTCAAAAGAAATATGAAAAAGATACATACCAATTTCATCCTTGCACGTGATTGGTTTAGTGCAAAATGATGGCTTGCCTTGCCCCACAATATTGCAAGCACTCACACGATACTCATAGGTGTCACCCTCTTTCAAGCCTTCTACAGTGTATTTCCTATCAAGCATTTTCTCCTTTGTAACTTTGTGGAATTTGTCTTTACCAATGAGACGGCTCTCTAGAACATACATGGTGATATCTGAGCCTCCATTGTATTTTGGAGGGTTCCAAGTTAGTGTAACAGAGTTCTTGGTAACTGCTTTTACTTCCAGGTCTTCTGGACGGTCAGGAACAGCTGTGAATAAACAAAAAAATACGGTAAATGCATTTTTCTGCATTTTCAGCATACTCCTGCATATTCACCTCATATTATGACAGTTATCCAAACTCAAAAATATTCTTACTTATTGGATCTCTAATGACAATCTCTTTTGTTGTCTCTGTGAATGGACCCATGCCAATTAGATTCTCAGCTGCAATTCGGAAAAAATAGGCTTTCCCTTCAATGAGTCCCTGAACAGTAGCATTCTGTCTTGTAACTGTGTAGCTCACTGGAGTCCAAGCTCTGCGGTCAGCTTCACGTTTTTCAATTATATAGTTGGTAATAGGAGAACCACCATCATCATCTGGAGTAAACCATGACAATTTACAAGAGTCATTGGTGAGGTTCTCAGTAAGGAGTGGCATTCCAACTGGGCCTGGCACATCTGAAAACAAGGAAAAAAATGGAGTATTTAAGTATACATGCTGAATTTTAAGAAATCGTACTTGTTCACATGGACTGAAGTTGCTATTTACCTAGTACATCAACAATAATTGTCTTCTTCCTCTCACCACCGTCATTTTTAGCAAGAAGAGTGTATAAACCTTGGTGACTCCTTTTGCAATTCTTGATGACTAAAGAAGAACTAATAGCTGTTTCTTCAATTTTGGCTTCTTCTGGCAAAGCGTGGTCATCCCTGCTCCAAGTCACTGTTGGAGGTGGTTTTCCTGAGACATATGCTATGATCCGAATTACTCCTCCAGCATGAACAACAATTCTGTCCCTGACACTTGCATCCAAATTAATATCAGGAGCCACTGAAGGAGGTGAACAAAAAAATTCAATGAATTTTTTTCTCACTTTCAATTAGAGGTACTAAAAATGTAAATGAAAATGATAAATACCAATTCTGTCCTTCATTTCAATAACATCTGTGACTTCTCCAGGTTCTCCGATGCCAGCAGCATTCACTGCTCTAACTCTAAATTTGTAAAAACATCCTTCTTTTAATCCTGCCACAACGAACTTGGTTCCTCTAATTTCTTTATCTTTTACCTGGAAAAGATTGTTGTAATGTCAGCTAACATCAAGATATGATCAATTTCTTTGCAAAGTTTGAAACAAGTCTTACATCAGATATCATTTCAGATTTACAAGCACACAATGGTATTAAGCATATATGGATTTACCTCACATAGAATTCTTCAGAAATTGTGTAAAGAAATACAGAACATGGACATACAAGCTATTCTAAAGATTTATCTTTTGATAATTCTACAGAGATGGTTGCTACAGCGATTACAATAGTTTGGTCTCAGAAGAATTACATGTGTTTCTGGACACATAAACTCATGTAAGTGAAAGTGGCAGAAAAAGGAATTCTGTTCTTTTCAAACCCCAATATGAAGGCTTTTTACCTGAAACAGTGTAGGAAATTTAGGTATTACTTAAATTGCAACCAGATGTTTATGGAGATATAAAGAATCCCCAAGATGCACACCAGTTAATTTTTCAGTAACGTATTATTGAAAAAAGGAGGAAAATGTAGGGACATAGTAGTTGTAAATGCTTTGGCACTGTCTGATACCAATGAAACTTACTTTTGTGCCAGTTCTAAATTGGTCTTTTGGCTTTTTAATAACAAATTACCTACACACTTTCTCACATCTTTATATAGAAATTATTAAATTCTAAGTTTAGGAATTGCAAAGTTAACTTGATATTAAGAAGGGGCAAGTACTAACTTAAGTTTGGTCTTATATTTTAAACATATGAAGATAATTATGGTGCAAAAATGCAAACTTTTAGAAAATAACTTGAATAGTAAAAATGGATAAAGAAAATGATAGTTGTTTTTTTTCTGCAGCAATTTACTTTGACAGACACAGAGAGAAGAAATGCAGATTGTGTAATAGTTTTCCGCCTACCCGTTCCCATTCTTCCTTTCCTTCCTCTTTATACTCAACAATGTAGCCAGTGACTCTGGAACCACCATCCTTTATTGGTGGAGTCCACTCCAAGTCTACAGAAGACTTTGTCCAATCAGTAACTTTTGGTATAGGAGGGCCAGGTGGGGCTGAAAAATATCATCACACAGCATAACAATATATTGTATCTTCTTACTTGAATATTTTCAGATTTTGGAGAAAAGAATCTAAAATATTTACCAATAGGATCTCTAGCAAGTGCTGGATCAGATGGCATGCTTGGTGGGCCAACACCAGCTGCATTGATAGCTGAAACACGGAACTGATATTCAGAGCCCTCAATAAGACCTGTGACTTTGTATGAAACCCCCAGTGTCATAGGCTTGATAGGATCTCGGTTAACCCTGGTCCATCTCTTTCCAGTGGTCTCTTTGCGCTCCAACCAGTAACCAGTAATAGGAGAGCCACCGTCATGTTCTGGTTCTTCCCAGTTTACAGTCATTGAGTCACGTGTTATACTGCTAACTGTTGGCTTGTCACAAGGTCCAGGAACAGCTGGGGAAAAAATTCACACATATCTTGTAAAAAATATGCTAAAGAAACATGGAGATAGCTAGTGTGCAGAGCAGCTATGCACTCACAGAGTCACCATTGCACTAGGTAGTTACCTATCTGCACAAGACTGCTTCCCTCATTCAGTTTCTCATCCCTATTCAGGTACAGATAGTTCTGTGAACAATAAAGTATCTGTCCTTTAAATAACAATTGCCTTTTTTTTTTTTTTTCCTTTCCGGATCACTACCTCATTTCAGTGCCCAGCCTAACACAGTATGTTTTAATAATTATTTTCTCCTGTCACCCTAACACTTCTTCTATGTCAAAGTTACTCTGTCTAATTTATCTTTAAGAAGTGAAGGCAGGAAATTGACCCTTCCTGAGATTGTGAGGTTAATACTGTCTTGACTACAATAGAATGACATGGATCTTATCAGATAAACACTTATTTGTATATTTAAGCCTTAAAAATGTTGAGATTGTATTTTAGTATATACCAAGGAGAGTGAACAGTATTTTTAAATGCTACACATGGTTTTAAGAACTAAGTACTAATGGTAAAACTCTTCAAGCTATTCTAGAAAATTTACTTAGTGAAGAGAAAAAAGTAGTAGTGGTATTTAAGAGATTCTATACACATACCAGCATACGGAAACAACTGCCATCACTTGAAAGTATATTTCTACTTACTGAAAAGATTTCGTGCTGTTTCTGGCTCACTATCCAAAGGTTCTCCGATACCATATTTGTTTTGTGCCATAATGCGGAACACATACTCATGGCCTTCCATCAACTTGGGAATAGTGAATATGCATTCCTTAGGCTCATTAGTAACAGTTACCCATGTCTTCCTATTTGCTTCTTTTTTCTCTATAACATAGTTTGTAATCTTAGAACCACCATCATCTAATGGAGGAAGCCATGATATTGTCATTTTATCAGCCAAAATGGATTCAAATTTAATAGGTCCCACTGGAGGTCCAGGACGACCTAAAAGATACATTTTAATAAAGAAGAATTAATTCAAATGCTACTAAAGTATCAAATGAATGCTATCAATTTCTGTAATGTATAAGAGTTCTTGATATCTACCCAGAACATTGAGCCTCATCTCCTTTGAAGCAGTTCCCAGATTATTTACAGCTGTTATAGTATATAAGCCTGTATCATTTCTCCGAGACTGTTGAATTAATAAAGTGCAAGTATCTTCATCAACAATCTTGTTGACATGTTGATCATAGAGCACTGGGGATTTGTCATCTGGTTTCTTTGGAGAGGCTTTTAGCCATGTTAATGTGGGGAAGGGTACACCCTTTATCTTGGCCACAATTTTAACATCCGTTCCTTCTTCAACCTCCATAAATTCTTTAAGCTCAATAGATGGTGGACCTACAATGAAATGTTGAAAAAATAACATAAAAAATAGTTCATAATTTTAAAATTAAATTTGTATTTACTGGTATCAGTTAGTACTTACAGGTCTGGTCTTTGACAACAAGTGGGCCAACAGTGGCTGATGGTCTGCTAGGACCTGCTATATTTACAGCTTTGACTCTGAATTCGTATTCTCCACCTTCTACAAGATCCTCAACAGTAAACTTTGTTTCTTCCACATCACGTCTGTTGCATTGCTTCCAAGACTCTTTCACTTCTCCAGTACGATCCCAGCGGAGACATTCAACATTATAATGTGTAACTGGAGCTCCACCATCATTCTTTGGTGGTTTCCACGTCAAGCTCACTGTGTTCTTGGTTACAAGGCCAATCCTTAGTTTAATAGGCGGATCAGGAGGATCTTCACAACCAAAACAGAAATGTGAATAAATCCCCTCTACGGTAACATCTGGTTTTAAAGGATTTGTTTGAATTTAATTTTACTTACGAATGGGATCCCTGGCTGTGGTCCGTTGGATGGTTTCTGCAGGAGGGCCAACACCAAAACGGTTTTCTGCACGTACCCGGAAGAAATACTCTTGACCAGATATGAGATCAGGTACAACAAAGGAGGTACTGCCACAGTTTGCATTGACTTTAGTCCAGGCCTTCCCATCAATAGTTCTTTTTTCTATAACATAGCCTCTGATTCTGTCTCCACCGTCATCATCTGGCATCTTCCATGAAAGTTTACAGCTACCTCTTGTGATATCACTTACTTTTAGGTCTTTTGGTGGACCGGGGACATCTGTTAAGATAAAGCACAACAGACACAATTTTACATAAGTATGTAGAAAAATAAGAGTAAAACCTAGTATTTGAATACTTCAATATATACAAGTCATACCAAGCACATTGACTCTGACATGCAGTGTTTTTTGTCCTGCTTTATTCTTTGCTGTAATACTGTATCGTCCAGAATGACTTCTGTTGCACTCAGGGATGATAATCTCTGACCGTGTATCACTTGCTTCCACCTGTGTATTATAAGAAGAAAGAGAAGTTATAGATCAACTTTAAATATTTTAATGTTTGAAAAATGCAACAATACTGACGTTAAAAAAACTGTTTGCTTTACCTGAGCTTCTTCAGGTACATTATGACCTCCCTCCTATAAGCAAAGGGAAATAATGTAAATATAAATAAGGGAATAGGCTTAAATGTCTAGAAACAGGTGTAGAGAAAAGGTATTTCTTTTACTAACCTTTGCTGCTGTTTTTGCTTTTCCTTCATACTCCCAAAATGTTTTTGGAACTGGACGACCCTTGATAACAGCTGGGATTTTAATCGTTGTGCCAGCACGACAAGAGAGCAAATCCTGTGCTCCAATATCAAGGAAGATTTCTGGTTCCTCTGCAAAAATATTTAAATACATACATTTTAAGAGCTACTCAAAGGATATTTCTGTCAGCATGGAGCTGAAAGCCCCCTGAAACATGCAGAATGCATGTTTATGTGAGAAAGGTTGGGTGTGCAAAATGGAAACTGGGGAAGTATACAAATAGAAAAACTTGTTGCAGTAATTTCTTCATAAAATACAGAGTGTATCCTTAGTATGACTGTAGTTGCTTATCAATTTTCTAATAGGTCATGCTCTGGTAATAGTCATCATGACACTTTCAAAAATGTGTGTCAATCTTTTGTTAAATTTTTGCATAATTTTTTATTCTGTTTGACTTGCTTGGCATCCTGCTTGAACATTCACAGCAGTAAGTGGCATTTAGATAGAAATATCTAAATCAGCTTCCAGAATACCTACCTAGAATATCTTGGATAGGTATTTCTGATGTTGCAGGACTTGGTTCTGATTCTCCAGCAGCATTTACAGCTTTCACCCTAAATCGGTATTTTCTGAGCTCTTTCAAGTTGGGGATAACGCATTCACAAGTAGGAAAGAGTTTGTCTCCTTCATTCACCTTCTTCCAGTCAGTACTACCTTCATCTTGCATTTCAACAATATATCCTTTTATAGGACTCCCACCATCCTTTTGAGGAGGCTTCCATGCAAGAGCTACAGATGATTTTGTTTTGTCTTTGACCTCTGGGCAAGATGGTGGACCAGGAACAACTTACAAAACAAGAATAAGTAAAAATTACCTGAGAGTTAGGGTCTTCCTATATTTTTCTGAATAGTTTCTAGAAAAATGCAAGTATTTTAATTTTCTTCTCTCATACATGGAGTGTATAACCCTAGAACAGGCATACTAATTGCATATATAACCTATATTATTAAGAGATACTTAAGGTACAAGATCTAAGTATCAAACTCTTTAAAAATTAAGTAAAACAATAATATAAAAATATGATTCAGATCTAAAGTTTATTTGGCAATGTCTGCATTGGTGTAATCAAAGTATTAGGCACATAAAAGAGATAAAAATATTAAATTACAGCTAATTATTTTTAAAATGGTGAAAACCACTGTGGTGGTTTGGGCTAGGCCTTCTTTGGTGACCAGTTTGTAACTAAGGAAGGGTCCAGATTTACCCAGTATTCCCTACGATTTTTACGTAAGCCAGATTATAAGAAGAAAGGAGGAGAGGTCTTAGCCCTCTTTCCTTCCGGCGGCTTGGAGGTGCAGGTTCCCTGCTGTTGAGTCTGCCGTATTGGGGAGCGAGGCCTGGTAAGGCCTTGTTGACCTTGGGAGGCGGAGGTTGCCGGCGATCGTCCCGGAGCGACTCTCGGTTGTCCCAAGGAGAGTGGTGGGATATTTTCTTTGCTAACTCTTTAGTTACTAGATCTCGGGTTACTGATTGGGATATATATATAT